TGAATGTACATTCTCATGAACCATAACTAATACTCATCTCTGTTAATCATCTCATGTCAGTTACTGTAAACATGGACATTGGACAATCTCAAACATTAATTATATTCTGTTCTGAGCTTCACAATAATAGAAAGAAAAAAACATTGCATTACAGAAGGCAATACATATAGGCAAGCACTGCTACAGAGTATGAATTGTCGTTTGCTTCCATGACGTCCAAAATGTTCCAAGTTTACAGTAACAAACTTATCACAAAATTCACTACCATTTGAGCGTATTCCCTTTGCTAAATTTCCCCATCCATGCAAATGTGCCATGAAGCTATATCACTGGAAATATTATGATATCATTGTTATTATCATGTGCAGTAAAAAAAAAAAAAATACTGATATTGTGTGTAAAGAGAATATCATCTGTTGAGAGCAAGAAGGCATAAGGTCAAAGGTTAAGATCCTGTTGACGAAGAAGCAGCTTTCATACCTATCTATTGCTTAGACATTAAAACAAAATATTGGATTTAGGAGTAAGAACTTGGTCAGGAAAACTTTATTTTTTTAGATGCTGAAAAATCAAAAAAGCAGTTGTAATGTATTCTAATGACACTAAAGGTACTCTACAGCTGTAGCAATAAAATACAGGTTTAAATCTGCAGATCTTGTGGGCCATCAGTCATGGTAGTTTTAGACCCCGCCCCCTATCATGTACTAACCATAATGCACCATTCAAGGCAAATCCCCTTGTAATGACTGTCCAGGGTGTGTCATTTCTGCCATCTTGAGTTGCCATTTCACTGTTTTCTTCAACATACCCTTGATTTACAAAAGCATTGGATGTTCACATTAAAACTAATGGATTTACGTATCATCTTCACAGGGTTCGGGCCAGTGCCATATGCACTTGGTAAAAATATCAAGCATAGGGATTTCAAACAGCAAGAAGAAGATGGGGAAAAAAGGCGTAAATCCTTCCAGACAAAGTTAACAATATATCTCTCTTCATTCTTTCAACCTTGAAAATGCTTTCAGTATTTCCCACCCATGCCTCCTGGGATGTGGCATGGCTGGTCTACTCGGTTTGGACCAAGTGTTAACAATGTTATCCTTAAAACCCTTTTGCAATGAGCCAATAAGATACAGTCAAACCTGTTTTAGTATCAACCACCTGTCTAAAAAGACCACATTTTCTGTTTCCCTTGAAAATGGTTTCCTATTGAAACATGTACTAAAGGAACCTGTCTACAAAGACCACTTGTGGTGTTTCCCTTGGGCGGTCGCTATAGACAGGTTTGACTGTACCTGTAAATCAACTTGTCCCTGGTACAAGACTCTTCAATAGATACTTTTATATTTGCACGCCGACATAGTGGACTGCTACGTGTGACTTCCTTTTAAGGCACTGACAGGACCTTAAAAGGACGTCACAGTGCCTTAAAAGGATGTCACACGTAGCAATCCACTGCATTGTGTGTCGGCGTGCAAATCTTAACTTCCCTAATGACACACTCTGGAGGGTTGTTCAGTTGGGGGGTTTCCCTATACTGACTGGTGCATGAACTCATCATCATCCTCATCAGCTTTCCTCCCTCCATGATAATCTTATGTAATCTCTCTCACAGAACATCCCCAGCCCATCCTCTCTTCCATGATTTCATCACCAGGTACCAAACTGGGCATGGTGTGACGCTACATCATTGTCATCAAATCACCCCTGTCCCACAGAAATGCTCATTTTTGCAATTCTCATTTGTCCGTATTCTACTAATTCAGTTAAACTCAATCCTGGGTTGATAAATCATGTTTAAGGAAGGAAAATCTAGATCTCAGACTAACTTCCTTTTTTAAACCTGATTTTGAACAAAAGCTGAAGCCTAGCTTTGGGTTAAATTTTTGTCCAATACGGCCCATTGCCTTTGCAATAAGCAAAGTGATATGTGCACTTCAAGTACTGTAAGTACTTGCTTATTTAAGCTTCTTACCCCAGTCGCACTGACAAAACTGGTACGAAACTGACAAGGGACCAAATAAAAACTACTGGTTTTATGAAATGACCAATATTTTGTTAATAATTTTGTTTGTTTGGAATCAGTAGGTGGGGTGTTTGGATCATCATCCTATATTAAACACATTGTGTAGAAAAGAGTGTGAATATTTAAATATGGTTTTAACGTGATATTCCCTGAAACTTGCACAAAACTCGAGAAAATAAATGAATTGCAAAACTGACCACTTCTACAATCCATCTTAATATGGTGTGAGCTAGCTTCAGAAAATCCCAGTGATTTACATGTATTCATCAAATAAAGGTTTGCTGGAGTTCAAAGACAAAATAATTTTTTTAATTTCTAATTCATTCTGAGCCCAAGAAAAAAATGCATGAGGAATGCAGAATAAAAATGGTAGCAAATATTGGTTGTGTTGCTATCATTTTCACATGATCATGTTTTTAGACCAATATCAGTTGAATGGAAATTTGACCAGAGTCTGTTTCTCATTGCATTGGGCCTGTGTATGCCTTTTGGGATTAAATCAAATTTTTCTCAGAAATGAACTGTTTTCTATGAATCGCATATATACGATCTACTTGTTATCAAAATTTCTTTCAAAATTTTTTAATTTAAAGATTGGATCATTAGCATCTATTGAATTCACATAACTATTTTGTCTGTCTTGATGAGATTCAGCAAACCCTGTTTGATGTAGTGATCATGTAGTAAATTTGTGCTATGTGAAATAATTGATTTCTAGTAAAAACAATTTTAATGTCATAGAATGGTTTGAGTAGCCCATTTTTAGTTGTCTTTGTAGTGTGCAATTGTTTTGATATACCTCTTTACCACACACAGGAAAGGAAAAATAATTTGATATAAAAACTGTAATTTTGCAAAAGAAAATTGGCACAAAAGCACAAAGAAATGTTTATCAACTTTTACTCTTCTGTTTGATGCACTAATTATTTGTTTATTATTATTTCTTCTTTTTATTTGTGTGTGATGTAGAGGTTGTCTTTTGGTATTGAAAAAAATAGTTAAGTATCTGTGATCAAGTGTGATATTTTAGGTTAAAATCAATCATTTTAAGTTTCTGTTTTATCGCTCAACATCTTATTTTGATATTCTAGAAAAAAGTAGTTTTCAGTCATGTTTAGATGTTGAAGAAAGTAGTGTTTTATGGTATAATGAATTCATGCCAAGGTTTATTCATTTTGTGAAAGGCATTGCATTGCCTCTGGAGAACAGGCTTCGATTTTTGATGTTGGTTGAATTGTCATTTTTTAATGATTTCCTTTTTCCCATCAGTTTTAGATCCTTTTGCTGTGTACACCCATTCATCATGTTTAATATTTTCTCTTTGATTTTTCAACATGTAGATGAATTAGCATCCTTGTGATATTACTAGATAGCGTGTCATATGATATGTACTGTGAGAAGAAATTCGCTTTATTATTGCCGAAAGTATTAGAGGAACAGATATTACTCTGATCTTCTATTTCATATGACTAATAAAGGAAAGAAAGTACACAAAAATTTTCTGCAGGTGAAGTAAAGAAAACAATATAGAAGTTAATCTTCAGTTGAAAAGAGAGGGCGGTTTATTTATTATTTTTGTGATAAATGAAACTGCGTGTCTGCAGTATGATAGAATTTCTCTGTTGTCCCCCAAGTCTTCAGTTTGAATGACCTCATTCGAATATCCAGATGCTCTGTATTTAGTAATTTGTTCATTGTATTCCATACCCCTTTCTCTGCTCTAGTGTATTGTTCATTTTAATAGTAGATTTTATTTATAGAAGTGAATTATTGTCTGTTTCCATGTGTGTCGTAGTATGCTTGACGTTCTTTCATGCCAATCCCTGTCTATGGTGTATACTGTATAGTGATTAGTCTCATTGTTGTGACTGTTAATATTCAAGTATTCATTCTCGCATCTGAAGTGTTTCTGTCATATTGTTAGTTTCACAATACAGTTGACAGTACATTGATTTTGTATTTTCTTTTGATTGTTCCGTTACATGTAGAAGTATATCGTATATTTATCTGATTTGTGTGCCAACTTTAAAACCATACTGTACTAGAAGCACTACCCCAAAATCTTGTCTAGCGCCATCTCAGGTCAGCTGTAGCAGTGTGGTCCAATAACTTGCTGCTTCCATAGATGCGCGGTTGGTTCTCGCATCAAGTCCTCTCTCTCTCTCTTAGAGGTTGGAATTAGTTATTGGGTACTGTTTGCAAGTTGACCATGAGATGGCGCTATACAATAAACAGTAGGCTCGGGCAGAAAGTTCATCAGTCCAGTATCGCTTTAACACATGTCAGATCTGTATCAGCAAACTTCTGCTTTTTGTTGTGTAAGATCTAGTCTAAAGCTCTGTGTAATTAGTATTTAGTGTACAAGTAGATATAGGTTTTTGATAACAAAAAAAATAAATATCAGCTTCAGCAAATATTTGCCAGTGAGCCGTGTGTTTTTATATACTGAATCATTTTATCATTAGAATCATTATCATTATCACTGCCATCATCATATTGCCAATTTGAAGAATACAGCATGCATATTTAGTAAAATAAGCCAGAGAGCCGCCAGCTAAGTTCTAGATACATGTACTGTATGAACATTGTGTGTTTGAATATTTGTGAATTTTTTATAAAAAACAATGCCATGGCAATACATATTTTCTCTCAGCTAATAATAACAGTTGAAAAAAAAATTTGATTTTGATTACTTTTTTTTAGCTCTCTGCAATTTACTTTCATTTTTCGTACTGTTTATCTATCTGTTGCTTTTTCACTCATGCAAATTCATGTGACATTTCAATGCAAATTTGAGTCAAAATGTGTCCTGTCATCACTGTTCCATTGAAGTACTTTGTTGAAGATGTTCGTTTTGAGTGTGATCCTTGGTGATAAAGCTTGATCTCACTTTATGTGCTTACTGTAATCATGTTCTGTGTGCAAGCATCTCTCTATTTCCATGCCATTTTCTTCTCTCATTCCCATCTCACAGGTTTTGCAAATAATAATGACATTGGGGCAAACTTTGACAAGGCATTCGGAAGCAGTGTACAGCCAGCAGGTAACTGTGCATGCAAAGTAGACAAAGTAGTCTCCTCTATAAAGTGTGTTTCTCCTTTGTTGCAGAGATAGACGCATGATTTTGAGCTTGAATTGGAAGGACATTCAGAGATTATAACCTTTTATGTTAGTTAAATCATAGTGTGGGCAAACAAAATTGGTCAATATTTGTTTTCATTAATTTTCCAATATTTTGTGTGAGCCAAAAGAGCTTGAATACATCCATTTCTAATTATAATTATAAATTCATGATATATTATATTAAGATTTAATGGTAAGTAATGTCATTTGTCTGTCATCAGGTTTCTTTCATATGAAAAGTCTGTTTTCTGCTTGTATTCCTCCCCACTTCAAAATGTCCATTCATCAGCAAATATAAAATTATTTCTTCATATGTTATTAAAATTGCAATTTCAAAAGTGACCACAGTCATTACAATTGAAGAGGATCATTTTTGCACCTTTACATGATAAAATAAAGCTTCATCTGATGATTATTGTCCTCAAAACATCAAGGTCATTTGCTGTGCTTGAAATGGATCAGAAATGTTTATTTTTTTTATCCACTTACCGTGTTGGGAAATCGATTTCTCCGGTGTTTAAATGTGCTATAAACATCTGTTTGTAGTTAACAATTTTCAGACTGTATTTGTATAGTGACACTTGTATATTTACCTGGGCATAGTTTCACAAAACCTTCAAAAGTATAAGTTTACTGACGTCCCATTCAAACACATGTTTATTACAATACATGGATTTCACTAGGATGTTGGTGAACTTGTACTTACGACGGTTTCGTGAAACACCCCCTGTACTTTTGCACCAATGAGGATGATGTATATAACCTGTTCTTGCTTCCCCCTTCCCCTTTCTCCTTCCTCCTCAGCCCAAACCACCGCACCCATCATGGGAGATGTCCTCCAGCCCATGAACCAACAATATGTACCCCCCTCACAGGCAGAGGTCATGGCCGCCAACGGGGGCAAGAATCTCGACACAACACTCGTCAAATTGGCAACAAATCTTGATATTAAAGGTGTAGCCTCTCCTAAAAAGTGAGTTTAAAATTTACCTTGCTTTTCTAGAGGAATATGTAGGCTTAGATATGTGGTGAAATTTTTCTTCCTGTAAAAGGGGTTGTATGGTTAAACTTTTAAAGCTCCCCACAAAAAAAGAAAGAAAAGAAAAGCAGCTTAGTTTATAGTTTAAAAAACTAACCCCATTTTTTTTTAAATGGCCAACTAATTTCTAGATTTTAAAAAGATTTACAAAGCTAAAATACTAGCGTTTGAAAATAATCTGTTGGAATTCATCTGTATCCATAAGAAGAAATTCAATGTGGGCCTTCTGCAGTGTAATGAGTGTGGATTTGCAGTGTTATAGTTGAAATTTTGCATTAAAATGGTCTGCCACTCGCAGTAACATTGGTTTTTTTTGCAGTGCAGTTTAATCTGATTTAAAATTTCACCAACCACCAACTAAACCAACTTTTTAGTAACATTTTGTCTTTGAAAGATTGCAGTCGCTTAATACATTTTATGCATGATATTTGAGAAATACTAGGAAACATTTTTTTCTCCATGAAATATGTCTGAAATGCTTTGGTTTTAATGGCTGTTATAGTGTAGTAACTAGTATCGTAGTAATTTTCATTAGTACATGCATTCCATGTATATATATACTTCATATTATGCTTTCATGTCATAATGTTAATTCACATTCAGTCACTCTCTTGTCTTGTGTTAATGTGTGTTGGTGATGTAATGTACATGTATCTACGTTAATGTGTGTCATTTTCATTCACTCTTTATATCTAGCATTAACTTTCTTCAAAAAATTACAATGCTCCCTCATTCTTCCTCATCATAACTCACAATTTGTTGAGTGTCTTTCTGTGTACACGTGTATTCTTTGGAATTCAATACCATTTTTCCTTCTCATACTTGTACCATACAGTGGCCACCTATATATATAAAGGCCGTCTTCTCTGCATATTTCTCTCTCCCCTTGTTACTTTTTGTTAACCTACTCTGAATTCTTGTTACTTTTATATTTTCTAAACTTAAAATCACACCTCTGGTTTAATTGCTATAATCCCTTTTACTTTACCAACATTAAAAAAAAAAAATTAATGCTAAAATAACTATTCTTTCAAGCCTGTACCATTTTTGCTCTCTTTCTCTCTCTCTCTCTCTCTCTCTCTCTCTCTCTGAGTTCTTGGTGTACTGTTTCGTGTTCTGTTACATGTATGTTATTAAGAGGATATATAATCAATGGCTCTGTTAGTTTACAATGCTTAATTCTCATTTTTTACACAATTTACATAAAATTGAATCACCCATTTAACCAATCCTCTTTTTTTCGGTTTGCTTTTCCTATTCGCACATCCACGTATCATTCTTCCCTTTCCATTCCCTTGTAAAATGTGTTCTTATATCCTTTCATTGCCTATCCATTATTCCTAAATACCATTCTTTTGTTGAACCCTCATGCCAATTCCCTTTTATTTTGTATGTTTTAATTTTGGTGAATTTGCTCATGATCATTCCATCATATCGATGTGACCCGCAACCATGCTATCAATCTCCAAATCTTTTCTAATCTTGCTCTCCTTTCTATTTCATTCTTAATGGTCTTTATAACACCCCCCCCCCCCCCTTTCATTGCCCCATCGTCCCTTCATATTTGTATTCTTATTTTTTTTTACATGAACATCTGTCCTATTCCTACCTTTTGCTGCACCTTTACTGCTTCCAAATAATCTAATTTGCCAATAACCTTCGCGCTCCTATTCATTTATCCACTTTGTTTTTATTTATTCCTAATTAATGTTTTTTCCCATCAATCCTGCATTCTCCATCATGAAACCCTTTTAATCTTCATCCTTCCATTCTCTTTGCTTACTGTCTTTTATTTTGGATGAACTGTTTCATCCTTTTCTCTTGTCATAAATCACCTTTCTTTTCCGTCTTCATTTTTCCTTATCCCTCTCCTTTCATCCTTTCAATTTTGTCACCCATCACTCCATCCTGTTTTCTCCATTCATCAATCCCGCTTCTTCATCTTCCTCAATCCCACATCTATTATTCTCTCTCCTTCCTCTCTTCCTGCCCTCATTCATCCTCACCACATAACCTTTTCAATTTTGCTCCCCCGATAAACCCCCGTCATCCTCCTCAACGCATCACTCCTGCCCATCCTCCACCGCCCACCCTCCATCCTCCACTCTCCCTACTTTCTCTGGGATGCGTGCGTTCCTCCTCCATCCGTTTGCTGTGCTGTCATGCCCTCCTCTCATCACACACTTACTAATGCAGAACTGCTGGAGCTGGGAGTGGAAGTGGTGCACTTGATTTTGATCTTCATGGAATGGGCCGTTTGAAGTAGGTGCTTGGTGGCAATGTCTCGTCATAGTTTTATTAACCCTATTAATAATCCACTGGTGGCTGGGCTTTCATTTGGGATGCATGCATCAAAAAGATTACATTCAAAGGGTTAATTGTCAAGCCTCTATAATAATATGTACGCTTCATGTTTAGTCAAAAACTCGGCATAGACCTCTAACCAGCAATGCACCAGACAAATAAGATGCAAAGTATATTCTAATCATACTTCATAATCCCTAACCAAAAAAAATAATGCTTCTAATGTAGTTAATTACCTGAGATTCAGTCTTTTTCTGATCTTATCTTAAGAAATATTACTATCTATCGCTCTTTGTTACATCTAGCCATCTCATGCAATTTACCTCAATTTATATTTCAGTGAGCCTGTGATTATATACATGCACCTCTATTATAATTCTACCTTTGTTGCACTACGAAACCCCCTATATTGTCTCTCCATGTTGTGAAGGTTCCATTTTAAAGTTACCGTAAATGCAAGTATTTTTCATATCTTGACCTGATTCTGAAAATGTGTGGTTCACTGGTCCTTTCCTTTTTTCTTTTTTACATGAGTTCCCTTTTTTAGATGTGTTACAATTTCTTTTCTTTTTTAAATGTGTTCATTTAAAAAAAAAGGAATACTATCTGTAACGATGCTACATTGATGTAGCATCTGATCAAAATTTTATGAAACCGCTTTTGATTTCATGCTGATTAGAGGTCTATGCCGTGGGAAGATTTTCAAAATTGCATTCCATTTCATGACATTCATTACCTGTATTTAAACATGCAAATGATTTGCCTTGAAAGTTGGGCTCAGTTCATATAGTTGCATGTCCATATGAGGCTGGATGGCTGCTAATCTAAGTGTATTTGCATGACATGAGTATTTGATATATTATTATTATTTTAATTACGCATACCAGGTACTAAAATCAGAGGCTGCAAATGGTCATTTTTATTTGTATGGATTGCTCATATTTAATATGGCAAGGGAGAATCAAGGTGGACTGTATGAAATGATATTAATGTTAAAATCAAGAGGAAATATAAATCTGAGATGTCATTAAAACCTGATGACTATAGAATACTCCAATTCCCGTAGGCTTAACACACAGAACACCTGATTCTCGTTGGCAGTGTGTTCGCTGACAATTTGTAAAGCTCCAAAGTGTTTGGATGTACATTAGATTGTGTATAATAGTCATTCCTGTGCGTTGTTCCCATCGTCCATTCAAATGAAAGAATCTTGGTAAATTGATTTTGGTCCCTAAACTTTGATTTCTTTTAGGACGGAACATCAGTGGACCAAGAACTCACCATCACAGAGGACCGGAGGGGCCGGTTGGTCACCCCAGAAGGGCCCCATCGGGTCATCGGCTGCCCCTGCATGGGGTGTTGCAGCAGCAGCCCCTATGGGAGGTTACATGGTGAGTAGATCAACAGGGATTTGAACCCTAAACTCTCAGGTCCAGAGCACTCAAGTATAGACCTTCTGACCAGCTCTTAGGGCAACATCCTAATCTAATATTCTTGAGGATTCTTGTTTTTTTCATGATGATTCAGAACGGCAATTTTGCTTCTGATCAACAAAATAACCATAAAAAAGCATTCTACAGCACATACTACTGGTGACAATTACTTCATGGTTAGTTTTCTACACCAACACAAATCCTAATTTCAACTCTTGATCAAATACTAACATTAGCCCTAACCCTGATCCTAACCCTAATCCTAACCATAACCCTAAAACTATGACAAATTAAACCCGACTGCAATCCCAAACCTATATCTTTGATGAAATAAAACAGCGAGCAAAAGTCACTCAAGCAAATGTCAGATCACCAGCAATATATATATATATATACATATTATTTTTTTTGGGGGGGGGGGGGGGGGGGGGGTTGGGATATAATTATGTGAAATGATGGAAGATGTATTTATAAGCTAGGATGTACAGTACAGCAAAATTTCATGAACAGTACTCTGAGAGAATACTCTTCTGATGATGTTAACGGTTAAAATATTCATGTTTATTACATTTCTCTGTCTCTAGAATCCAAACTAATTCACGCTTTCTGGTTTAAAAGTAGCATTATTTTCTACCTATTCTACATCTATTCATTTTACTTATTCATTTGGTTCAGATCATTATGTTGTATATTAGCTTTGAAGATGATACTTGCATGGTACATAGATTTTAAATGAAAATTTAATTTATTGGATGTGAGCCCAAAGTAAGAAAACACAAACAAGCAAATGTTGCTGACAATTTTTCAGCTTCAGAAAGCTGCGGTTGATATATGATGTGATAAATCTAAAAAAAACGTTTTACGGCACTCTGGATACAAAATTTATCTCTGTGAAAATTCCTGATAGAATAGTACATGTGTGATTTGCCACCTTTAGATTTTGTATAATGAACTACATGTAGGTGTTGAGAGGAAATAGTAGCATCATCTATTTGTATAATGTTTCATGGTTATAAAGTTGATATATGATGTGATAAATCTAAAAGAACGTTTTACGGCGCTCTGGATAAAAAATTGATCCCTGTGAGAATTCCTGATAGAATAGTAGATGTGTGATTTGCCCCCTTTAGATTTTGTATAATGAACTACCTGTAGGTGTTGAGAGGAAATAGTAGCATGATCTATTTGTATAATGTTTCATGGTTATAAAGTATACCGGTAGTACTTTTTTCATGTCTACAGTAATTTTAACCACTTTTATTTATATTTTAGTCTTGTAGTGTATTTGTACGAAGAAGGAAATTAAATTGGGGAAAGGTTATGAAAACAAAAGAATTTCTAAAGTAACTAGCCTTGTTCATTTTCGAAAGAGATACTATTAAACAGGATACTATTAAACAGATACAAATATTGGAAGTCAGAATTGAAAATTGATTTTAAAGCCCCACTGCACTACTTATAGCTACTTACATCGTCTATATAGCAAACAATGCATAATCGGTGTCTGTTGGTCCCCATCTTTTTCTTATGTTAACCGAGAGCTGATTTGATGAGATAACGACCTTTCAGTGATTATCTTGGATAGTTGTTTGAACTGTGTTTTTTTAATAGTTTGCTCTGTGTGTGAGTGTATGTTTTTTGTTTAATATAAATTTGTCCTTGTTTAATGAAAAGCTATATGTGGATGCAATTGTGGTGTGGGGTTTATTGTAATCAGTAAAGGTCTCTAGTCATATAGTAATTTTCCCTTATGAATATGAATAGTTAATTTTAATTATTTGTCATTTATGAGTAAATTATCCTCATCAAGCAGAATCATGAATTGTGATAACTGTATGATTGTGAACAAATTCAATTTGGTGTTTTATCATTTTACCATGCCTCTCTCATTCTGTCTTGCATGTTTTCTCAATTCATTTGTTTCATTTTAACAACATGTAATCTTTCTTTCATATATCATTTCATCTTATGTTTTACCATATTATACATTGTCTTAGTAATCCTCATTCTGTTTTGTAGCTTTATTTGAAACTAACACAGTTCGCTATTCTCTGATCCTGTCCTCATTCTAAACATAATGCTAATATTATCTTTCATTTCTGTTAACACCACTCTCACTTCATGCTTTCACAAAACGTTAAAATAATGATGTAAAGGAGCTTGAGTCTGCACCAACACCTCCACCACCAAATACTACCATGGTGAGTCTAACACCCCTGTTTGACTAATGGTATAGTCCATGAGCAGCAATCTGCTCCATTTGCTGGCAGTGCTGTATGTCTATCCATGTGGTATCATCCATTTTCTTGGAGGTGGATGTGGTGGGTTAGTTTTGAAATTCATGGAATTTCTTCATCTGAGGGCCAAGAAAATTTCTGGTGATGTTGCTGTTCTGCTGGGAAAAAGAGGGGCTAAGTTCCATATAAAGTGTATGTTTATATCTCATATTAGGACAAATTTTTGGATGAAAGTATTACTACATTGTACACAGTAATGCAGTATTAAATGTACTATTGTGCTTTAGAAAATACATGTTGAACATGTGGGCCAATATGTTACCCTTAATATGTATCATTGGCACAGTTATGCATTAAATGTATACATGTAGTTTTGTGCAATCTTGTATTGTTTTTTTTTATTCAATGCAGATTCAAAAAAGATAGATAAGCTGCACCACAATTTAAATGAGATAAGAAAAATGCGCTTCATATTTCTTAATCTGGTCACACATACATTCTGGATATGCAAGTAGACTGTCAGGTTACGAGCCAGACAACTCGTGAGACCACTCATGAGCTTGCTTACAACAGCTTTCTAGAAGGTTCGCTAAATCATGCGTGAAAACTCAAAAGGATCCCCCCCCCCCCCCTCAAGAAAAAAGAAAAGAAAATTGTCACTAGCCCTTCTCTTTCCTGCAATGATTTTTTAGGCAGTCTGCCTGCTATGTCTTATTGAATTTCTGTATTCGGGAAGTTTTTATGTTTGGGAAGCATTACTGATGGTGATTTTTGGTATATGTTTTGTTTCAGAGCGGTCAAACGGCCGATTGGAGGGGTCAAGCATTCTCAGGACAATTTGGTGCTCAACAAGCAGGGATGGCCCAACCTGGAATGGTAAGTTATTGTATGTTGCGTGAGTGATCAGAGAAATCTGTAGACAGAGTTTGGCCAACTTGGTGTCAGTTTGTCTCGACATGGTGTATATTCTTTTGTGCCTGTCCAACAAAGCACTATTGCAAAAATCTCCTCTAGCATCATCTTAGGTCAGCTGTAGCAGTATGTTCCCGTAACTCTGCTTCCTTAGCTGCACTGTTGGTTATGGCATCCGTGGGCATATTCAAATCAATTCAATTCAATTCTTTTTATTCATCCAAATTCACAAGAATACATGAAAATTTGTTTTGGTCACACATTGTGAAAAAAAGTAATATATATATATATATATATATATACATGAGAAACTATATTGTTGTGTTTATAATCATGGAATACATGAACAGGCTGTGTTTATTCTCTATTGCTTTTAATGTTACCATACCCTAATCATTTCTATGTTTCTCTTTCTATGTTTATCCTCTTGAAGGGCATGGGTGTAAGACCGATGGGCATGGCACCCGCGGGCATGTTTGGACAACCTGTTGGAGGTATGGGTCAACCTATGTATAATCAACCAACGAGACCACCTACACAAACCCAAGCACCCGCAGATCCATTCGTAAGTCCACCTTCCTCCGTACATATTACTGTAGAAACACACATTGTTTGTAAGGGACTCGTCGCCCCAAATAGATTTTAATTAACAGAGTCAATGACTTAAAGGTAAAGACCAGGTTTGGAAACGCCCCCCTCTCAAAAAATGAAATAGAAGCTCTTATTACCAATCATGTGAAAGAACATGTTTTGACTAATACATGATGATAACAATTTTGCCGGGAAACCGCCTACTAATTGATATATTTAGTAAATTAGTTTATCTATTGGGACCAAATAGATAATACGCACTTGTCGCGCATGTGTGCGTCGTCCCATATACATCTTTCTGTGTACAGTGCTTGTAACTTTACCAAGGCTGGGCCAAATTTCTTATCATTTTGATGATTCCAGAACCTTGCAGAACACACCAATACTTATAAGCTAGATGATCAACCTTTTCTGATCGATTCCACAACGTTTCTTTCACAGTGCAACCTCATGACCAGAACCGGTCTCTATCTTTAACAATTTGTTCTACAAATGGATCACAATCAGATTGTATTGTTTGCACTTGGCTCTAAAGAATGGTATTGCATAAGTCGTTGAATAATTGAATGAAAATTAATGTCTTTTCTTTTACATCTTTTCTTGAATGTTCACATCTTATGCCAGTGTGATTTCTTCTAAAATTGGATCCCAGTCGGATCATATTGTATGCATAGTTTGATGTATGAATGAAGGACAAATAAATGTCTTTCTTTTGTCTCAGTCTTCTCACATGCAATTTGCAGTGCAACCTCTGAAACTGCATGGCAGCTAGATTATGTAGTTTGCACCTGTTGTTTTGATATTAGAAACAAATATTGCATAACGAAAAAATGACTGTCACTTTTCTCTCTATTTTCTCCCCCAGGGTAATCTCATCTAGCTCCACAGATGTCAGTCATCTCCACAGAGATATATGGATATATGAATATATATATAAATAGATAAATATATAAATATATATATATTATGATATGAGTGCACATTTTCAAAGTGGAGAAAAGAAGCTGTTTGTGACCAATTATGTAGAAACCAGCCCCACGAATCAAGAATTTTTTTTCTCGATGGCGTCCACTCTCATACGTTATATTTTGTGATTGAGCGATTCCAGTTATCCATGTTTATGTTAGTGCAAGTGGGCTCAAACATCAAAGATACATATCTTTGTATTTTCAAAGTGTCATTTACATGGACTGATTCAATAGTGCTATACCCTGAAGATTTAACCCTTTGCCTTTGTCAATTTATTGTTCCTGTATTATGCATAGGAAATGAGATAACTTAGTAGTGAACAGGTTAAGTGAATTTTCATGTTGGATTTGTGAACTACTCTTGCACACAACCTACAAGTTCTTTGTCATGATGAATACATGTGTATGAAGTCCTATGTCCATAAACACAAACACAAAGGACAAAGTCTTTATCTTGAACTTCAGTATAAGTCATTGGTTTATGATGATGGAAGCAACAAAAAGGGCCTGTTTTTTAAGGCAAAGCGTGTTACGCTGTGAGACAAACAGTGTGCTTATATAGGTCAGTTATGGATGGTATGGCCAGTTCTAACATATGGAGCTTTCAGCTTTGTTAGACCACTAAACATCAGCTGTGTCTCTGCACCTCTTACAGACGCTGGGCAGTTCCAGGTATGATAAGATCCCAGAAGTACATCGTAGTATGTAGTTACATCTAAGGCTTGTCAACATAGGACATGGTACACTGCCACAACAAACCAAAGTTTCTGTGCTTAACTAAAAACACTCTGAATGCCTCGTTCAGATGTCATGCTGCAAAACTGTAGTGTTTTTAAAAAGTTTTGTTACGATGACGTACACAGAGCTTAGTGAACACGGGCAGGACCTTTATGGTGCCCAGTTACCATTCATTGACGTGTACAAAAAAACTGAGGCGGCTTTTTTGCGACGGTTTACTGTGTCATATCTAATCGAACCTTAATTGTTCTTACATTTGGTTTTGCTGCGGTAGTTTTGTGGTTGTTATTTAATGTGGGAGCCTTGCGTTATTGTGTAGGGCTGCTGAAAGATCTATACCATATCAATCTTGTGTGGGTTTTTACGTTAACTTAACTTCTAAACCCTAGGATACCTTAGGTTGAAACCCACTGAAAAAAAAGTATTTTCAAGCTAATATTGAGTTCTATTAATGAAATTTAATTTCAAGAGAAAGTTTGATTTATTATGATGCAATAGATGAGCTTCTGGGAAATAGATGGATGAAAAAATATGTGCTCTATATCACATTGAAATGCACACTTCAGATCATGTTCTGGTTTCTTAAGTGTACAAACCTATGATTATTCAAGAAATTTCTGCACCATTTGGAGCACACACACACAAAACAAAAATCATTCAATAATCACCAATCATTTTGTACATATGAATGATCATCTTTTTGTCAAATTAATATTTTATAATATGGAAAGCAATGTGTTAAACATGTAACATATTAGGAAGACATCCTTTTTCAATGTCTACCTTTTGATCTTTAATATATACTCTAATCATGACCCTACTGCCAACGAATATTAAGTAGCGTAAGGTTTGATGTAATGAACACCTTCATCATTGGAGCAGTGTTAATTGCTCACTTGAATGGAGACAATTTACATATATACTACCTTAAGAATAATAGGATATAGTAGGATAAGTGTAGGACCATGATTATGAAACTTCATCTTTGCGCGACTCAAATCTTGTACATCATCATCTACCTGAATTTTGGCGTTTCCATTTATAGATTTTACTTTTTCTTAAATATAATATTGATGTAAGAAATATGTCATGGATATTTCAAATACATGTATGAATTTATTAGGTGTGCATATGTATTTTTTGTACCCTCGCCTTGTATGGATATAGAAGGCATTATGAATTTTGGACCAGCATTAATAAGAAGTACTTTGTTTAGTGGATACTGTGCTCGACCATGTATATCTCCAATTGTCCAGAGCTGTGGTATTTAGGGAAAATGATAACTTAGAAATCATCATCTGAAAGCTGAAACCAAAATTTAAGTCAAATCTTAGATGAACTTTGATTCGGGAAATAGATGAAGTTCTACAACTTTGAGATTAGTTTATATTTTAATTGCCACAACACGCATCAAAATTGTTGTTTTTAAATTTATTTTGCAATGATGTTTGAGGGGTTATAATATGCACATGAAGATTGAGCATTTGTATGTCCCAAACTAAAATGGAAGTTGACTGTGTACAGATGATGATTTGGTTGGGAGTTGGTTACAATTTCATGTGTAACATGCATTTTGTGATGTGTAATTCAAGACATTTTTCTTAATCAATATGATTATGTTGAAAAGTTATTGGATTGCATAGAAGATTTATCACGGATTAGACATAGAATGTGTATATTTGTAGAAAATTACTTGTTTGATAAAAAGGGGGAAAGTTATGTTATTTCTTAATGTTTATTGTGTGTTGGGTGAGTGTCTGTGTGCATATTATATATTGGAAAAATGAATTGATGCAGGTATGTAAATCTGGATGTCAAATTGATTCAAAATAAAATGGAGTGTGTGTGTGAGGGATAGAGATATAAAAGAGAGAGAGAGAGAGAGAGAGAAAGAGAGAGAGAGAGAAAGAGAAAGAGAGAGAGAGAGAGAGAAAGAGAAAGAGAGAGAGAGGGAGAGAGAGAGAGAGAGATATATAATTGAATTGAGTGTGAGGCAGTGTTTGTAATTTTTGTTTTACGAATATGCTATTTTGGTCGGTGAATTAATAGCTACATACCATACATTGTAACACAACTGTTCAAGTGTGTTATAAATGTGCTGAATTATTACTCTGTCAGTTGTCATTTCCATGGATCAACATCTTAAAACCATTTTTTAGAATTTACATTGCCTGATGTTTCTGAGTTTGAGGGAAATATAATGAAGATGATAGTTATCTGCATTTCTACCCATGGTATGATTACAGGTTCCTGTTAGACGGTGAATAGAGACTTTAAGTGGACTTTGTATAATTTAAAAGTTTTGTTTATACCCCTCCCCTCCAGAAATGATTTAGACCCTCTTTATCCTTTTATTTATCATTTATCATGCTTTAAAGAAATGGAAAGGGTCTGCATCATTCAGGGGAAGGGGGGTGCAAAATGACATCAAAACCTTGTTATCCCTACTCACTCTGGGTCCTGTAACACAAAGCAAAGCAATTGAATGTACAATTGATTTTTGGCGATTGACTGCACATAGTGCTCAATGCAATCAATCCGGAGAATTCAATCGTGCGATCAATTGCTAAGCTTTGTGTTACGGGCCCTAGTGTCCCTGTTTCATATTGGGGCACATCACTGTTGAGTAAATGCCTTCAAATAAAATTATAGTGCATTTGCCAACTGATCATGCCAGTGACACTCTGGATGATTCAACACTCTATTAAAGTGAACCCTTCTCTGAACCAGGCAATATTACTGCGGAAACAGATCTTGATACTTTGCCAAGTTAAAATTCTAGAGTTGAAATGCCTCATCATTTGCTGTTCCAAATTGGTAATTAGTACAGCTGAAGCAAATATCTAGATCAAGTAATGTCAAAGCAAATAAAAACCACAGACTTATGTTTTGTGTTTTTATGGGTTAGAGTACAAATCTGCCCTGATGAAATAATTGTCATCGGGTGTTGTAAAAGCAATCTTTATTTTGCTTTAGCAGTGTTCCAAATGAATGTATGATGTTATGTATGCAAAACAAGAACAAGAGATGCATTCTTGTTTTACTACAGTGAAAGCAATATCAATTTTATTTCATATCTTATTTTGTTCAATCGTTTATTATTTTATTTTTATTTACTCTTTTGTATTTATGTTGATGGTTAGTAATGCTTTACTCCACGATGGATGTTATATATCATTAATGACACTGATGTGTGTTACATGTTATCTATCTGATACAACAAAGTCTACTAGATAAATGCTCATGTTGAATGCTAATGTCCAACTAATTACCCCAAAATCTTGATGGACCATGACGTAATAATTGATAAAGGGTATTTTCCGTGCTGTGATGTAAATTATTTGTACATTTACACCTCATCCAGTCTAAGAAAAGACTTTGTTCCATATTCTATCTATTGAGTGTATAAACGGGATTGTCCTCCGATCATTATTTTAATCGAAATGTGGTTTATGAAAAATAAATGGAAATTATGTCTATAATGAAAAAGAGAGCTTTAAACTACATGTACAAATTCTAGAAGAGTTTAAGAGCAGTTTGAAATCCTGTATTTAGACAACGTTTAATGTCTTTCCTCTTTTTGATATACTGTTTTCGATTCTCTATTAGTAAGATCCTTATTAGTCCCTTGCATCTTAATTTCTACTATGCAGTCAGTCTACCCGCAAGCTCCAGTTTCTATGAAATGAATATTGAGTGTTTTCAAGCTGTCATCTGTGAAACCTTTGTGGTCAGATTTGTCTTGTCTATTTTTACGAATGTGACAGAATTATGTATCAACCATTCGTTTGTAATTTTTTTCTCAGAGCCGTATCTACTTCTATCCGTAGAGAATGGAAATATGTTGGTCTCGTGACCCAATAAATGAAAATAAAGTGATGAAAAGAAACAATGTGAAGCAATCATCTGTTTTATTCTGCTGGATTTTTGTTACTCTCGAGGTTCACCGAAAAGAAAACAGACAACCCCCAACAAAAATTGGAGAAAGAGACAGTATAGAGACTTGTATGTATTGTTGACGTATAAAAAATTGTCGTGAGAGGAAGAGAAGGGGAAGGTTTTATTCAATTTAAATGTGTGTAGTGAAAAAGGGTGTTGATATTGTTCAAATAGATAAGTGTTGCACGTAGTGAGAATATGACAAAGAAGAAGAGAAGTATATATAGTCCTTTGACGTAGAAGTATGGTGAGATAGGGAGAAAGAGAAGTATATACTTATATTGTTCAATGAAAAGAGAGCACTTACAGTCAGAATTGGAGAAGAAGAAGAAAAAGAAAGTGTTAATAATTGTTTGACTAGAAGAGGGTCATATGAAGTAAGAAAATGTGAAAGGGATGAGGTTTGGATATTGTTTAAATGAAAGTGAGAATGAGAAGATTAAAGATGAAGTTGAGTTCTGGTCATGCGATTGCATTGTGAAAGAAACGGTGTGGAACCGACCCCTACTTACATTCGCCCTACTTTCACCGTACATTCATGTCTCCTGTATTTTTCCATCACGGCATTTATATCTTTAAAGTGGTGACCCCTCGTTTACTTTGAAGCTTGGTTGTACGAATTTATTATTCCCAGACTTTTTGGACTTAGCAATGTTTTATCAAATGTATTCATTCTGGATTTTGTATCGAATGTTTTTTTATGCTCTTGCATAAACACGTTTATTCGATGCATATTCATTAATGTCTATTTAATGGCAACTAAACAGCCGTTCGCATACCATGGTTGATTATCTAAAGAGTTTGTGTGTATTGCAAGGTTCTGGAATCATCAAAATGATAAGAAATGTGGCCAAGTCTTGGTAAAGTTACAAACACTTGCACAGAAAGATGTATATGGGACTACAGTAACACGAACACGTGGCGTAAAAAGCCGCCCCCCCCCCCGATTTTTACGATGTTACATGCATATATTTAGAATATGAAGGCATTTGAAGAGCCATGCTTTTCAGGGAACATGTCTTAACTGATGTTCTTCCACACTTGCATAATAAGAATGAGTAATGCTCACAATTTATTTTTCACCTCTTCCCAGAACTCAACCTTCTCTTTAGGAAGAAGTGCATCTATAGGGCCTATTCTAGAGTTCAATTGTAAGATAAATTTATAGTGAGAATGGGAAAAGTCAATGAATATATTCACAAATTGTACTAGGAAACGGAGAAGAAGTAAAGATATTCAAAATTAATGAGAGCATATGCATGCACATAGGCCTACATGCATTGGAAGTTAGTAAAAAAGAAGAATTTCATGTATACAAGAAATTTCCAATGTGTAAATTAAAACTGGAAAAAAAGTATTAATTATATTGTATTTAAAAATCATAAAATATCATAGTTTCTCTACATGATCCCAGTGGCGGATCCAGGGGGGGGGGGGTTGGGGGGGTTGCAACCCCCCCCCCTTGGGCGGCCCAAAAAAAAAAAAAAAAAAAAAAAAAAAAAAGGGAAAAAAAAGAAAAAAAGAAAGAAAAAAAGAAAGAAAAAAGAACGCACGCTGGAGAGAAACCCTTTCAAGTGCAAATATTGTGAGAAGATATTCAACTCATCTGGTAACTTAACCAAACACATGATAACTCTGGATATAACTATGTATTAAACTGTTACTTGATTTAAAAAGACGTTATCATGCACTGCTTTTTATGGTCTCCATTGTGTTAATAGATGCCAGGAAAACATCACTTACGGGGTTCAAATAAACACCCCCCAAAAAATCGGCTCGCCGCTTCGCGGCTCGTGGACGATGCTCCGCATCGTCATTATTTTGGTCAACCCCCCCCTTAGCAAAAAGCTAGATCCGCCCCTGGATCCGAGTGAAATACTAGTGGGAAAAAATGACTGTTTTGATGGCCCTCTCAAAGAACATGTCAACAAAAATATCTGGCTGCTATGCCACTATGGGGCCTCGGTCTATATCATCCCCCACCCCTTGAAAAAGAAAATCAAATTTCCTGCTAAAATTAAGTAGCAGATTGGGAGAGAAGGGATCGAAGGCAAACATGTGGCCAAAATTAATAATCAACATTAGCTTTCTCTTTTCTTTCCTTTCCAATTACAAAACAGAGATGTTAGAAATTGGCTGTGGAGCAAATTATTGCCCATTGAATCGAATTTGGAGTCGTATGACGACATAAGTTAAATTTAGGTTTGTCGTAAAAAATCACGCTGTTCAATTATTCATTCATAAATGATAGACTAAAAAATCTTAATTTGCAGAGTGAGATTACAATAATAAGGAAAATGGACAAGTTGAAAAAGGTATTGCGTGGAGAAGAAGAGCAGCAGGATGAGCAAAGCATAATAACCGACGTAAGTATTCGGTAGTTTGTTATATTTGGTTAAAATTCACGATGCACTTTCGCTGTACTTTTTTCACATTATACGAGTATTTAATGTGACGTAGACGGGACCCACGATCCTTGACTTCAGTCCCGCGCGTAGCTTTACGTGTTGGATACAATCTTTAGGCCTAGAATCTATATTATAATTTTTCAATTCCTATCAACACTCTTATAGGTCTACTCTTAATTGTTATCTTTTCTCTAGATTATAGAGATGTCAAATCAGGCTAGGTGATGGTGGTTGGGTGTCTGGACACTAAACAAACATATTAATGCCTTCTCTTATGCCGATTTTGAGTGAATTTTGTTGAGTTTTTGTCCAGCTGTGTTTGTGAGTTTTGTTTTGAAAAATCAACAGAGGGTGTCTTACTCTTGAGTCTTAACTCTTAACGTTTTTTTCCTACACACAAAGTATATATACCGTAATGCTGCTAATGACTATGAGGTTTGTGTTTCAGAATACTTAACTCAAATACAGCTGTCAATTCGCTTTTGATTCAATGAAAATATGCATCAAACACTAAATATTTGTCTGTCTTTAATAATAATATTCTACAAATAACGCACGACCCAGCGTTTGTTAGTGGTAAATGCAGTGCGAGGTTTCTTTAGATTGGTGACACCTCTGTGCACGAGCTTACAGTGTGCACCATCTGAAGATACCGAGCGTACACTGCATTTACATTACACACAATACCTTGAATACCTTGAATGCCAAAGCTTCTGGAAGAAGCCATCTCCAAGATTCCAGGTCTAACTTCAAGGGGGATGTCCCAGCTTCCGGGTCTTGCACCTTAGTCATTTTACATCTGTGTCTTGCTTGCTGGGTCATATCAGGAATGATAACAGTGTCAAGTGTGTTATTTGTTTTATAAAATAGCGACAAATGGAAATCAAAACAAACAAAAGATCTAGATCTAACGTAGGTCTATAGAGTCTAGGAGATTATGTTGGTACTAGAAAATGAAAAGATAAGACCTTGCACTTGCTCTACATGTACGCTGCGCTGGATATCGATCTTAGAGCGTGCAATGATACTCTTGACTGCGCTTTTTTTGGCGCGCGCTTTGATCGTGCATGCCCACAAAAAAGGTGCATGCACTATGAACATGACTGACAAACAAAGCGGACAAAATATACAGTTCGTCAGGTAGACAAGGAACATGACATCCCTTCACTGCTATTATGTAAAAATGTGTAGAACAGGTGTCACATGCATATTCACTTTTTACATAATAGCAGTGAAGGGATGTTCCTTTGTCTACCTGAGGAACTGTATATTTTGTCCGCTTTCTTTGTCAGTCATATTCATAGTGATGGTCATGTCATATTGTCATGTCATATTGTCATGTGACGCATTTTGACCAATCACGATGTTTAAAATACTAGAGCTACTTTATAATGTCAATTATTTTTGTCCAACACAAAGATCTATGACATTTTGCATGGAAGCTTCTTTGAACTACTGATCCATTTTGATTTGTCAATACCCCCACCTGAAAATTTCTGAACAACATAGTCCAGATCTCAATCTAGTAGTTTTTTTCCCATTCATATTCTTTTAAATCTATTTGATGAAACAAATCAGATTTGGCATTATTGCGCAAAGGAAATATATTTCTTACTGTAAGTGTAACATATATCCATGTGATGGAACTTTCTTGACACATGATCACACATCAAGGAAATGGCAGACCCCAAATATCACTGGGACTCGATCGTAAAAGATATCTTGAGTAATTCCCCCTCTCCTGTTTTGATGTGACATCATGTATTAAAGCTCAACAAATGGAGAAAAAAATAAATCTTTTTTTAGTGCATTTCTCTTTAGAGTTAATTCTCCTTTTTAAACAATTATATGTTTGTGGAATATTTTATTTTTCAGGTGTACAGTGCCTCTTCACTCAGCTGGTCAACCCGCATTAAAGGATTCATTGCCTGCTTTGTTATTGGTTGCTCACTATCTATATTGGTAAGTTTCAAGCATAATTATCTTCTCTAGTCATCAGCCATTTAAAAACTACTAAATATCCACTTGCATCTACATGTTTGTAGCTCCAGTGAAGGGTTCTGAATAAATATAATATATAAAAGGCTTGGCCTGCAATCATATCATTACCCCTGGCTTTCGCCAAGCTTCCATGAAAAGGCGCTCAAGCATTCGAGGAATTTCCTCCTACCCGATACCCATTAACCTCACCTGGGTGGAGTGTGGCAAATGTAGATTAATATCTTACACAAAGACATTAGTGATATCACTGGTATGTAGCTGGTGCTGCAAGACTACATAACCCACTCGTCTGATTTGTTCTTATTCTTTTTATGTGTGTAACCTTGCTTTTAGGTTAAAAAACAAAACCAAAACATTATTGTAATTCTATTATTGCAAAATTATGTCCTGAAGTATGTTAAACTTTAACTTACCGGTGTGTGTGTTTTACTTTCTTTCTTGAATCACTGGTTCGTCGTATGCCCACGATTATAATTATACAACTTTCGCACAACTGCGCCAGGAGTGTCATTATTGACAGACATGGCGCATTATGAATGTTCACTATTTATTTATTTATTTATTCTTTGTTTCCTACAGGGTTCCTTCCTCCTCTTCATTCCATCAAGTCATAACCTTCGTACGTTTGCCGTCCTGTATTGCTTCGGCACCGTAATCGCTCTTTCTGGGTAAGTGAAAGAAAGGCCCCCCCCCCCCACTCAGTGTTATTTAGGGTACGCATATGCGTGTTCCCAGCGACCCCCCCCCCCCCCCCCACTCAGTGTTATTTAGGGTACGCATATGCGTGTTCCCAGCGACCCCCCCCCCCCCCCCCCCCCCCCCCCGTTTTCAGCAAAAATCTTGTGTGTAAAGTCAATACGGGTCAACCTTTTTCTTATGTTACACAAACCTTTTTCAGCACACCCCCCCCCCCCCCCCCCTTTTCAACAAAAGTTTGGTGTGTAAAGTCAATACGGGTAGACCTTCTTCTTTTGTTACGAGCCAGAGAGTTTGGGAACACGCATGGTATCCCTCCGTTCACGGAGTGGGGGGGGGGGGCGGGAAGAAAGGGCAGGCAGATAAGAGTTTGAGCAGGGTATACAGGACAGTGAAGTTAATTTGGTAGAAATACACATCAGTAGGGATTTGAAGACAATTTTGATATTGTGTTCTAATTAATGTGAGCTGTTAATTCATTTAAAAGATGCTACAGATAAAAGCTTGATCCTGCAGTCCCCGTGAAGTTACTTCTCTTCTAGCATATGTATATAATTATGGACATAATTGTTAAATATATTGATCATTATGCAGTACTGCATTTGCTATTGCTGTGTGCTAACAAATGATATAGCATGACAAGTTCAATATATTTTATCATTTGGTGTCTTATCTGTTTAGGTTACTATTAGTATGGTACATCAGAAATATACTTTGCCTTTAAGCTTGGGTCTAATCCAAGCTTTGGTAGGGCTTGCAAATTAAAACAAACATCAAGGCCCCGTCTTAAAAACAATTGCAATTAATCGCAACTGTTTTGTGATTGATATCAATCGCAACTATGTCCATAAGAGATAGGAGACTACAAACTCGCGATTGAGTCAGATCAATCACAACTCTTGTATTATTAGACGGGGCCTAGATGTACCATAAACTTAAACGTTGGTGATGTATGGGATAAAATACCTGGCCAGCTCTACACATTTGTTTGACATTTGTATGACTGTCTTCTTTTTTTTCTCTAAAGGACCCTGTTTCTAATGGGACCCATCAACCAGCTGAAGAACATGTTTAAGGAGAAGAGGATTATTGCAACATTAATCATGATCGCCATGATTGCATTGACACTCATGTCTGCACTGTGGGTAAGTGAATTATAGTCTGTGGAAGTATGATGAATGAGGAGGAGGAGGAGGAGGAGGAGGAGGAGGAGGAGGAGGAGGAGGAGGAGGAGGAGGAGGAGAGGAGGAGGAGGAGGAGGAGGAGGAGGAGGGAGGGAGGGAGGGAGGGAGGGAGGGAGGGAGGGAGGGAGGGAGGGAGGGAGGGAGGGAGGGAGGGAGGGAGGAGGGAGGGAGGGAGGGACGGAGGGAGGGAGGGAGGGAGGGAGGAAGGAAGGAAGGAAGGAAGGAAGGAAGGAAGGAAGGAAGGAAGGCAGGCAGGCAGGCAATGATGATGATGATTACAAAGACATCAGCATTGTGGAAATGATTGTTATGGTGGTGGAGATAATGGTATTGGTGATTGTGATGATGATGATGATGATGATGATACTGATGACGATGATGATGATGATGAAGAAGAAAATGATGAAAGTGATGATGATGATGATGATACTGATGATGATGATGATGATGATGATGATGGTGATGATGATGATGAAACTGATGTTGATGTTGATGTTAATGCTGATATTACCACTACTAAATGATGAGTAATATTTTGATGGGAGTGTTTTTAAGTATGAAACAAATAAAATACCTATTTTTGGAGGAACAAGAAGATTTATGCATGATATGATGCCTATATCTGTGCTGAACCTGCATGGAACATAATCATGGTTAGAGACTGTTGTTGTGTCAGTAAAGGGCATGCCCAAGGTATTTTGGTAATTTGATTTCCTGTACGTCACAATGTATTGTAGAGTTGAACGTAATTATAGTGACATCAAAATGTGTCTTTTCATTCCATATTTGGCCTGTTAAAAGCTCCAATAGGGCTATTAACTACAGTTATCAGATACGGTAAACATGTATACTAACATGTAAGATGCGGTTTGTGATGTAAAGACAACAGCTCGGACTAGCCCTAAAGTTAACAAAATAAAATGGAATAAAGAAACTTTGAGGATTTTCGCTCTCTCTCTTTTTCTCTTTCTTACAGTGGGAAATCACCATTCTGGCAATCCTGTTCTGCTTTCTACAATTTCTTGCATCATTATGGTATGTATTAAAAAATTTCATCTCTTTTTCAGCATGATACACGTTCAAATTACATTATTCATTAAGCTATTTAAAAAGTATTTAAAGATATAAAAATAATAAAAAATTAAGGATTTCACAATATACTAAAACAGTTAGTATTTTGGGAAATGATAGTTGACATAGTTTTCTTCATATCATATGATATGGAAACTTACAACTTTCCTGTCTGATGTTTCTCAAACCTTTTTGATCTGTGTTTGTGTTTATTCTGCCAGTAATTAAAACTTTGAAAGCAAGTAATTTATTTTTAGTCAGATGCGAAATGCTGCAAGTTCACATATCCAAATTATTGCTATTATTTTCAGACATTTTTACCCATTGTATTTGACACCTAGGTATTCCATATCCTACATCCCGTACGCAAGAGATGGTGTGAAGAAATGCTGCGAGGGTTGCTTCGCATAGGTTCTGAGACGGAAGAGGGCTATGAGCCACAGTGTACAAAAGAAATCAACATAGACATGGCAAGAAGCTGCAATAGGTATCTGTCACTGCTCATATACCTGTAGGTAGGAGGGACAGAAAAATTTGTCATCGCTTTCACCATATGGGATACTTGTTTGCAATATATTTTCAATTTAATGTCCGTTTTCAGGACAAAAGTTTTCCTTGATAACGTGAAAGGCTCAACCAAGGAAGGTGCGACTTACCAGGCTGATACTTGCACGTACAAAATGTTGCTTGGACTGATTCATTCTTGTATTTGGAGAAGCTGAAAGAAACCATAAAACGTGCCACACCCCCTCCCCCCACCCCCCCCCCCCCCCCTCCTTCTAGTGATACCCCTGACTTCAGGCATATCCTCTGATATGCTTCGAGGTATTGCAAGATTCATACTTTATTACTACTATAATACTATTATAAAAAGAGGTTATTTAGCACAATATTCATAAAGGCTTGTTCAGATATGACATAGTGAAACACCACCAAAAAAAGCTGCTGCTCTTTCTTCACGGGTAAATGAAGGTCCTGTGCATATTCAGTGAGCTCTATGTAATAATAAACAGAAGCGTGAAGGGTTTGGTATCACAATATATATGTAAGCACAAAAAAAATGGCAATGGTTTTGCCGTGCTAATTGTAAACGAGGCTTTAGGAGGCGGTTCCAATTTCATGTGCTAAATGTAAACGAGGCTTAAGACAGCGGTTCCAATGATAGTACCAGATCGCATATCCGAACAGAGAACATACTGTAAAACCAGAAATGTTTGTGTGCATGAAACTTTCATGTATTTTGCGAGGAGTCCGGATTCGTAAAAGTTACGGGCGTGAAAGGTTTTGGTTATACAATGCATCGAATGCCAGTACAGTGCCTTAAAGCTTTGAGCTGCACAAGTAAATTGACTGGTTTGGGTGGATGTATAAAACTAGCGCACGATTATTCATGACCACAACTGCCTGTCTGAGTTTAATGAAAGTGTATTTCAGAGGCATGAACGTTTGGCTTAAATGACATTGATACAAGATTAGTTTTATAAAGTATTATAAAATATATGAGATATATATCTTTATATCTATTTTTTTCCACGTTCAGCCATTTATAAACCTTTCATGCTTTGTAAGAGACTCTTAGCTACAATTCGCGAAAGTTGCATGTAGCGAAAGTTTCTGTTCTACAGCACCATTGATAAAATATATATCAGAAGCTTTGGTGTAATTAATATTTGATTTTTTTTCTTTCCAAAGGCTATTTATCTGTACAGAAATGCACCTATGTAGAATAGAAACCTTTTGTTTTCAATCTTTCTACTTAATTTTCTATGATATTCAGAATTATGAAGTTCAATTTTTTGTTCTTTCTTTTGTTTATTTTTTTATAAAGGGAATTTATTTAATTTGCCTTACTCTATATTCTGTTGTCAGCATTTTAGTATCATCTTGATCAATATTTTTTTCCTTCTCAGCTTCATGATTAAGTGCCCTTATCTGATGAGGTAAAATTAGGTTTAATACAGCAGTAGTACTTAGATGTATTGATTTACTTTTAATTTATTGTCAATGATTTGAACATTGTGTTAAACTGAGTTGTAAAGGCGAGAATTAAGTTCAGTATATGAAGTCTACATTATTATTACATCAATTGCATATGAACTTGATTTGTATCAGTTTAGTCAAATTTGGAAATTTTGTAGTTGTAGGACTTGTAAAATCGAATTAGTCCTGCCAATTGATTGGAATGTGATCTATTTATAACTCACTGTTTCTGTGACATGAATCAATTTAATTCATGACGCATGCCAACTTTCTAGTGTCTTATGGTAAATCAAACTGCACCTGCCATGCCCTTCTGGCCTTACATGCATGTACATTGGGGAACCTCTGTCAAATTTATCGAGACCAAGAAAATGAACTTGTTTTATAGAATCCTTGTTTTCTCAGAAGTAATAAACAATAGAATACAAAGCAGTGGGGCTCTCAAAATTACCTTGCTATAATGAATGTTTGCAATTTTCTTCTGTAAAACGAGGTAACACTTAACATTTGCTCCAAGTAGTGTGTACAGTAATACATGTATTGGTTTCATGTTTCTGGTTAGAGTGTTTGTACTTGTACATGGTTACTGAATGTGTTTGACATTGAAAAGAAGTGCAATTTGGTTACTGAATACTGATGGCAGTTTCATTGTTGGATCGGGTTTCATATTCTGTGCATAGTATCGTTAAATAATCAGAAGAATCAAAGGGACCCCTGGATCCAGCAGTTTAATGTGTTAAATCTACCAAATATAATTGCTGGCACTACCTTGCCATTTCAAAATTAGAGTGTGTTCTTGTAAGAAAACGCTGCAAAAAATGTGGGCAACAATGTAACAAATCAATTGAAAACTGTGTCTGTAGTACAATTTTTTAGGAGAATCTGAAAGTTATGTTTTCAAGTTCATGAAATGACAATCTAAAATGATCTATGTGTGACATGTTTCCACATTTATTCAAATAATTTGCCAGCATCAAAATAATATTTGGGCCAATGGATCTCTTTATATACATTGAGTTAATTTAATTGAAATATGCATAGTAGTATTTATCAAATTCATCAAAATTGGTCTTTATGATATTGATGTTATTATTATTATTATTATTTATTTGACCAATCAGAAAACATACAGTGAGTATAACAATCAGGTAATACATAGACATTTCATAATACATTCAAACAGCTTTAGGAAAGTGGAGAGGAGATAGAGAGAAGGATACAATCTGCTGGTCAGGGGTGACAAAAGCAATTTAAATTGCTATTACTCGAAAGCATGTCACCCCCCCACAGTCTGCATCCTGGAAAATTAAGAGTAAAGAACAGGATAAAAATTCACAATATGACAAAATAAATAAATATATATATATATATATCAGGATAACAATAGTTGGAGCAATTATAAAATAATGTGACATGTTTTTATTGTTTAATGTAGTCCATTATGTGTTAATCAAGTGATCTTCCAAAGAAAAGAGTGTCTTTAGAAAGAAACCTTGAGAGTACTTTCCAAAAGTACTGAATCATATTTTATATCAAAATCTTGAAGAGTTAAAATCTGCCTTTTTGAAATGACTGTATAATGTGCTTTTTCATTATCGACACAAAATATATGATATTATATCAAAAGTGCCAATTACAGTTTTGGTTCATGTGAAATCATATTTATTTTTATCATAAAATCAGTAAAACTTTATCTATAATTTATGAAGATTGGGTCTCATATATTTTTGTGGTGTAATACTCTTTGTCGAGTTCTAAAATCATTTGTAAATTCATTTTCTGCAAGCGCTGTACTTTTTTTCAAGTTACCTTATTCTATGTAAGATTGTGAACATTGTCATAAAAGTGGCATGTCTTTGCATTTCTATATTTAAGTTTATGTGCATAATGTGAAACAAACATAGCAGTTTGTGTTGTACAGTGGATATATGCTGATCAAAACTATTGGCATTCGTCAAATGCATTAATTTTCAAAAAAAGGTTATTGAAATATGCGGTTTTCCAATAATGGATAATTCTCTACCAAGCACTGTAAACCTGGTGATTAACAAAAATGTTTCAAACTTTCATTTTTAGATGGTGTATGTAAAGTGATAGTAATTTTGCCTGTAAATATATATCAATATGGAAATACAAATATACTGTATTGTTGTCTCATTATATTGCATTGCTGTAAAACTGTACTTTATTGCCATGTATCTTAATAATGGCAACTGCCTATTCTTATTTTTTCTTAAACTTGTAATCTCCACACATAAGAATAGTTATGGTTTATGGGTTAACAAAGAAAGAAATATCAGTAGTAAAGATTACAATTTAAACAGGCTATAGAGATTTTGTCTGTCCTTTCCCTTTTCTCTAAGGATTCTTAAGAATATTCCTATCTTCTTTATCAATTTCTTCATACTCTTCTTTGTCCTATTCTACTTTCATCTGTTTCTCCCCACTTCTTTCTTTCTTTGATTTTCATGTCTTTTCCCTTCCCATATAGTGAGTTAATCATAAACATAAGGTGTACCTAAAGACTTTGTGTTAATGATTTGAAGGTTACATACGCATGATGCGTATGTAACCTTCAAATCATTAACACAAAGTCTTTAGGTACACCTTATAATAATAATAATAATATTTAGCTTTTATATAGCGCTTAATACAATGTCTCTAAGCGCTTTATAAATATACATTATTACTACGAGTAGCAATAATCCATCATGATAATGTTTATCTTGTGAATATATAGGCCAAGCTTTTAAAAAATGTAGACAAATAACAAAGAAACGAAATAGAAATCAACTATTTAGAATAAGGAGAGGGAATGAGAAATAAACGAACCCCAGTTGACGTAGATAATGACCCTGCATATACTTTATACCTCATTTCCCCCTCTTATTCGGGGTAGTACTGCAGAATTAGGGAAGGGGCACGACTGGCCCATGCCCCCGTTTTCAAACCAAATTGACAAAAAAAATATATGTCCTCTTACCCCCCCCCCCCCCTACTTATTCAGCGGCTGTCTGAGTCGTCGCGAAATTTTCGGCGCGATTTTAACATTTAACCCCCCCCCCCCCCCACCCCCTCCGAAAAAAATCCTGCGTACGCGCCTGTCTTGAACACTAATTGCTAAACTGCACCCGGCCCTCCACTCAGGGTACGCATATGCATGTTCTGTTTTGAAAGCACCCCCTAAGTCCGGTGTGTAAAGTCTTTTTTTGTGTACCTACTACGAGCTGGACTTTGGTGCGTGAAAAGTACCCCTTTACCAGGGAGGTGAGACTTTAAAGACTTTTATGACGTATCGGTATCGGATCGTTATACTGTTGAACGTGCTTACTTCCAACCACTCTGAGCGAGAAAAAGAATGAGAATGATAAACAGTGTTGGCATCATTAACTTTCGTGATTTTTGATTCCCAAATCTACTGGTCTACATACATTACAGACATACTGCATGAGAGTAAGTATGACATAAATATTGTGCCTGTATATCAATTAATGTTGTCGCATGCTGCCCATTAGCCCACCCAGTTTATGTTCATGCCCCCATGGAGAACAAATCAAAGTATTGAGTTATGTAATCGTAGTTATGGAAAGCAGGACAAGAACAGTATATGCTCGTTATCATACCCTTGTATTAGTTGGACATATATTGATTGGTTAGTTAGTTGATCGGTTTGTTGGTTAATTGATTGATTGGTTAATTATTTGATTAGTTAGTTGGTTTGTTTCTGTGTTGGTTGATCGATTGATTGGTTGGTTAGTTGGTTGGTTTGTTCGTTAATTGTTTTATTGTTAATAGTTGGATGGTAGATTGATTTATTGATTGGGTGATTGAATGTTTGATTGATGGATTGGTTGATTGGTTGGTTAGTTGGTAGATTTGTTGGTTGATTGTTTGATTGTTAATTGTTGGTTGGTAGATTGATTTATTGATTGGGTGATTGGTTGGTTAGTTGGTAAGTTTGTTGGTTGATTGATTGATTGGTTGATTGGTTGGTTAGTTGGTAGGTTTGTTGGTTGATTGTTTGATTGTTAATTGTTGGTTGGTAGATTGATTTATTAATTGGGTGATTAGTTGGTAAGTTAGTTGGTTTGGTTGATTGGTTTATTTTTTTTCTACAAAATTGAATGATTTATCGATCAGTTGATTGATCAGTTGACTGATTTATCTATTGATTCATTACTGTCGATTATATGAATAAGTGATTGATTAATCCATTATTGGCCAGTGTAATGATGATTGATTTGATTGATTCGATTTGATTTAATTTGATTTGATTAGATTTATTGATTTATGGATATACTTGCCCTAGCTGTTCGGAGTAGAATACAATGCCATTATGGTGTTTCATATTTACACGTCGTTTGACTAATGAGACCACTTTACTATGTATTCAATTGTACGCATACTGTGATAATGGTTGCTTTTGATGACAAACTTTGCCCGGGGCTTACCCGACATAACAAATTAAAAAGATATATAACTGAAGGAGTATACAAGAAGCTTTGATAGTGTATAACAAATTTAAATATATGTCTGTATCATGTGCATAGTTCATTTTTTGCTTGTTGTGCGAGTCAAACAGTCCTTGAGTAGATTTACAACATGTTTTTCGGCAGTGCCTGCGTGTTTTTCGTCCTCAGTGGAATTTCTATTGCGTAAGCCCAGGGCCACGCTCGTCTATAGAGTCTGCCCTTGTCTTACGTAACGGCAAGGACCAGGCGCGGATCCAGGATTTCTTCGGGAGGGGGGGGGGGGGCAAATTTGAAATTATGCGAGCCAAATATTAGTACGTAATGGTAAAATCGGCAGTGGCAAAAACGTTGGAGGGGGGGGGGGGTAGACAAAAAAAAAAATCCCCATCACCTCACTCTTACAGGCAGGCCCCGATGAACGTTTCTCGGGGGGGGGGGGGGGTCAAGGGGTGGAGCCCCCAAAAGCTCAGGGGTCTTACACATTAAATTACCGTCAGATGAGCATACTTTGATACCTTATTTGTAACACTGGCAGGACACAAATTGGTGTTTGGTCCAGGGGGTGGAGCCCCCGGAAGCTCAGGGGTTTGGGGCAATAAATTACGGTCAGATGAGCATATTTTGAAACCTTATTTGTGACACTGGCAGGACACACATTGGCGTGGGGTCCAGGGGGCGGACCCCCGGAAGCTCGGGGAGTTTTAGGCATTTTATAACGGTCAGACAAGTATTCAGGGGCCCGCCTTGGTGCACCTGGTGGGATCGAGGGGGCGGAGCCCCGGATTTTAGGCATTTAATTACGGTCAGATGAACATATTTTGATACCTTATTTGTGACTCTGGCATGACATTTATTGGCGTGAGGTCCATGGGGCCGAGACCTCAGAAGCTCAGCATGCTCAGGTGTTTTAAGCATTAAATTACTGTCAGATTAGCATACAGCCGTACGCCTTAGGGCTCGAGGTGGGGTCCAGGGGCAGAGCCACCGGAAGTCAAGGGGTTTTAATAATAATAATAATAATAGTGGGTTCTTGTATAGCGCTCATGTCAGTCAGATTTGACCCTCGTGGCGCTACCGCATTTAATTACGGTCAGATGAGGATATTTTGATACCTTATTTGTGGCACTGGTGAAATCCAGGGGGCAGAGCCCCCGGAAGCTCAGGGGTTCTAAGGCATTTAATCACGGTCAGATGTTCAAATTTTTTTTATTTTGGGGGGGGGGGGTTGGGGGCCGAAAATTGGAAAATTACGTCGTCAGATATTTCGTTCAGTGGCTTCGGGAGGGGGAAGGAAAAAAAAGGGAGGGGGCGGCCCCCCGGGCCCCCTGAATCCGCCACTGGCAAGGACAGACACTCGATGAATGAACCCAAGTGGGGGCCAGACTTTGTCCTGTTTAAGACAGACTCGAGGTCGGATCGTTTTCTTGCTGGAAGGTTGTCCGGCTAGAAAACAATATAGCTTCCTTTATAAAGCCAGGGAGATTTAAAATCGAGGGACTTCTCCTCAAGACTTCTTCTTGAGACTTCTCGTCGAGACTCCTTTCTGCCGCTTTCCAAATCTGCAAGCGTTCTGATAATACACTGTACATGACTGTATTTAGTGGCAGTTTAGAGAGCCTACCGAGCTGTCATTATTTAAAGTAATAAACGACGAATAGAACTGAAATTCACGATCGACCTACTCCATTTCTTCTGTGGCATTTGTTTTGTATACACGCATGACGCATGAATGAGAGAGATACTGAGCGAGAATTAAGAAGAGACAAGAGTTCGAGATCGAGAGCAGTCTGTATTAAACATTTGTAATAAATTTCGTTACAATATAAAGAAAATGTGAATTAAGTTGTTGCTCACCAAGATTTTCTGGGGGACACATTTAATTTATTAAGCTTCTTTTTAAAAGTTTTAAATGTCAAATTTTGCACAAATTATTTTTTAGAAATGGAGTCATCAAGAGGACAAGAGATATCAATTTTAAACTGGAAGTGGGGTTACGTCATCATACTATGCATGTTCGTGATAAACATGGGGTCTGGGATCACCAAGGCTTTCGGCGTTCTCCTCCCAGTGATGGTTGAAAGATTCAACATAAATTACGCCATAGTAGGCTTCATCTGCAGTTTACCCGGTACAATCATGCTCTTTTCAGGTGAATTATTTGATTCTTTAAAGGACAATAGACTGTAGATCTATATTTTCAAATGTATCCAAATTTGTAAGACGTATTCATAATGGCTTTCAATACCCGTCCCTCTATCGACACACACGTACACACATCCAAACACACACCCGGACACTCATGATTAATAATAAGAAACAATGACGCATAAACCGGCAACAGGGGTGGACTGTTCATGGGGGGGGGGGGGGGGGGGTTTGTAGAGATTTCTACACAAACCGCTTGTCATTACAACTTTCATGTCAACTTTCAATATATCGCCCTAACCCTTTTCAATGTGACACACTTTCATAAACTTATGTTTTGCTGTCTAGTCCTTCTGATTTTATGTACAGATTTGGATAGAGATGACGGGGTGGGGGACAAAAGACCGGAGGGTCATGGTGATTCAGTTCACCTTTTCTTGTCCCAGGCATCCCCGTCTGCTCTGTCAAAATCTCTTCATCTGTTTTATATCACGATCAGTCTATTGTTTTATTTGTTTTATTTGTTATATATACCTTTTTCTTCTGAAATGCCGAATAAATAGTTGGAAGGGTATTGGCATTGATTAGGTACATGATGAGGTTGGATCGTATACCCAAGCAAATGTAAAGAAATATGGATTTTACATTGAGTCCTTCCTTTGAGGTTCATATATTGGTGTATATTGGTACCCCCCCCCCCCCACTCTGAGCACAGTGTTTCGTTAAGTTCTATAATTCATTCGATGTACATGCAGGTCCTTTCGTTTCCTTGGTCCTCCAGAGAGTAGATCATCGAATCGTGGCCATGTTAGGAGGGGTAATAAGTGGAGTCTGTCTGGTAGCGTGCGGCTTCATCTCCAAAATTACCGGTCTTGGTTTCATGCTGGCACTCACAGGTATGTCATATTGGGTATGGGAGGGGTTTTAAATGGGGTGTGTGTGGTATCATGTGGTTTTATCTCGAACATTACCGGTCTTGGTATCATACTGGCACTCACAAGTATCTCGTATTAAGAGGGGTTATAAATTGGGTGTGTCTTGTATTATAGGTTTTATCTTCGACATTACCGGTCTTGGTATCACCCTGGCACTCACAGATATGTCATATTAGGAGGGGTAATAAGTGGGGTGTGTCTGATATTATGTGGTTTCATCTCCAACATAATATTACCGGTTTTGGTATCGATCACCCTGGCACTCACAGGTATGTCATATTAGGAGGGGTAATAAATAGGGTGTGAACTGGTATCTGGTTTCATCTCTAATATATATTACCTGTTTTGGTATCGTTCACCCTGGCACTTACAGGTATGTCATATTAGGAGGTAATGTATAGGGTGTGTCTGGTATCATGTGGCTTTATCTCCAACATTACCGGTTTCGGTCTGGCACTCACAGGCATGTCATATTAGGTACCTATACAAGCTGAGCTTTTCAATAGGTTCCTCACATTTCACCCTGTATAACCTATTATTCAATACAATTAATTTCGAAGTCTTCTCAAAGAATTGATTATAAAATGTGACATTTTTAGTATATTTCATATTATGTTCTAGTTTTTTCAATTATTTGAATTCTTTTTTGTGAAATATGAAACAAAATAAACTAGAAACTTGAAACTTGAAATCTGCAATATTTTTCACTTATGCTACTTTTTAACAACACTTTATTATCTCATTGACAGGAATTGGCCGATGTTGTGTCTACTTACCGATTTCTCTCCTGATGAACCAGTATTTCAAAGAGAACTTTGTTCTAATGGACACCGTAGCATCATATGGTTTAATAGCAGGTATAATGTTCCTACCCGTCATCACCGAGCGAGCTCTAGAAGCGTACGGTTACTCGGGAGCTTTCATGATTCTTGGAGCAATCATGTTTCATAAGGTTGCAGGGGGAGCGGCCATTCGGAAACCAGTCTTCATTGTGAAAGATAACACCACTGAACAAAGTGGTAGTGATCAAGATCCGTTGGAGGTGATCCGTTTTGAACCGTCGGATGATGACGGTGAGGTAGATGGTATAGTAGGAGGTGATCAAATGACAACATTGAAAGATGAATCAATAAATGATATGGTCCAAGGTCAAGCCCTGGCAGAAAGCCGTTTTCACTCCAAGGAAAACCTTGAAAATACGGAGACACTAAATGCTGCAATCGTAATAAATGATATAATAAGATACGAGGAGGATGAAGGGATTTTAAATGACGATGATAACCGTGAGGAACACGTTACTTTGCTAAATAGTGCATGCGATCGTCCTGGTAAAGTGGATGATCTTCCTAATGCTTCGAGATCTGGTCAAAATGATCATAGTGAGAAATATAATTTCTGCTCATCATTTATATCTCGCTGCAAACTGTTTATAACCAAGGAAGCTCTGTTCTTAATGTGCCTCCCAGCGACTTTCTTTCGTGCCTATTCGTTCGAAGCCTGGGTGTTGTACCTAGTGCCTCACGCAGAGCAGTTAGGAATTACCCCATCTCGAGCTGTCTTCTTGTCTTCAATTGGTGGAATCAGTGGGATTATTGGAAGAACCATTACTGTCATTCTCCTCATTAAGAAAGTACACATGTTCAAAATCTACATCACCGTTGGTTTTATTACCAGTTTGTCATTTTTCTTGGATTTCGTCGGTGAATCATTCATGATTCGTTCAGTTTGGGCATTTCTTCAGGGCCTCTGCTTCTTTGTGCTGGATACTGTAGACGCAACTTTTCTCAAATTGACGTTGGTAGATGAAAGCAACTTCAGTTTCGGCCTTGGACTGGTGATGTTAATAAACGGTTCTGGTAATATCTCGGCAGGGTTACTCACAGGTAGACCATTATCTTGACACTCTGAAATAATATTAAATTCAAGCTTTGTGTATATTAACACAAAGTTTATTAACACTAGAGAATGCCACTTTTTAATACAACTTTTTTTGTCAATTCAATTCTTAATTTATTTATCACCCAACATGTTAAAAATATACATGATAGTCATACATAAACTTGCAAAATGATAGACGAAAGAATATCTTTAATAAAGTACAAGGCTTGTAAAACAGAACGCCATGCAGTTCACTGTAAATTCATAGATGTTTCCTAGTATACAGTAACGATGGTTCAGTTGTTTAAAGGTGTCTCTAAAACGCACATCATCGTTTCCTCCTCCACCTTACTAGTGCGGGTTTTATGAACGGGCCACTCTGTTTCGAGATTTGTGAAAATCCATAATCAGTGGAAAGCAATGCAACGTGTCATTTCATTCTCAATTATCGAAACGAGGTGGTATTTTTACATTAATTATTTTATGTTGATATGCTTTATTTTCATTTTTTTAACATAATTTGTTAAACTTTTTTTTATACTAAAATCGAAATGGTAAGCCTGTCCTTTTTTAGAGCAAACTTAGTGATAAATATTTCGCCTAGGATTTTCCACACTATAAGGGGTTGAAAATTAAAACAATTAAGCTATTTCAGTTTTACTCTAAAATATTTCTGATATTTTCAAATAGAACATTTAAGCACTCAAAGATCTGGACGACTCATCGCCTATTATTTTGTGTTATCCAAGCTGGGAATTCTTTTCGATTGTTTCTTAATCCATTCTCCCATGCAGGAGCTTTGTTTGACGTCATCCAGTCTTATACCATCGTATTCATGATGACTGGAATCCCTGTTTTGATCTTCACCATCAACATCGTAGTCATATCGGTACTGTTAAACAGAAGAGTCAAGTCCAAACACGTTTAACGTCGCTACAGGCATGTTTGATTCAAAGGAATCCTCTCTTCATCCCGGAGCTTTGTTTGACGTCATCTAATCATCTTCAAAGTCTGTTAAGTCGCCTTGAACATAGGTTTTTTTTATATTTTATTTTTTTGCATTATTTCGCTTTGTTTTTCGTTTTGTAATATGTATTTTGTTAGTTTATGGGAGAGAGTCATGGAAACTGACGAATATTTGATGTCATACCTGTATCAGGTAATCTGAACATCTTTCATTGGAAAATGTATTTCCAGTAACCAATTAAGGAACATCTTACCCCCAGATTAATCAAAAAAGATTAAGAAATTACACTACTTTGCCGAACAGAGTGAAAAACAGCCCCATTCCTTCACTTATACACATTTACAGAGCAGAAAACGGATGTTTTTTTAATACTACTAATATTATAGCTATGATTGTGATTCCATAAGTGCAATACTTGAATGCAAACTATGGTTTCAATTACTCATACACACAATGTAAGGAAATCAAGTTTTTATGTAGATTATTTTATATATATATATATATATATATATATATATACCTCTTTTATATTTATACTGGGGTCTAATCTTATTAATAGAAACACTACATCTTCTATATCGAAGTTAAAAATCTGTGTTAACCATTTATTTGTATTTGTTTAACTGACTGAAATTATCTTCCATTGCCAATGTCACAGTTGTCTCCTCTTCCTCTACCACTTCTACTTTCCCACCTCCTTCTTCATCTCGCCCTTCTTCTTCCTTCTCAATCTTCTTGTCCCTCTTTCTTCTTCTTTTACTTTTACTTTTTCTAATAACTCCCCTTTTTAGAGTCTGGATAAAACATTATAACCTTTTACTTAAAGTAGCTATACCCTAGAGTAAATATTTAATTCGTACATTTTCTCATATAAGTATTTGTTTTCTACATAACTTCGTCTCTATTATTAGTAGTTTGTATAGTGGATATTGATATTGATACCTTATGATAATAATAATAATAATGGGTTCTTGTAGAGCGCTCATGTCACTCAGATTTGACCCTCCTGGCATCTATAACCTAGAGTAAATTTTTAATTCGTACAATTTCTCATATATTCTTATATTATACCACTATGTAAAAACGATTTATATCCGTGTTTCCATATGAATGTGTCATTGTACGTTTGCTACTGTGCATTATATTGTGTATATTATTGTCTATTGTATATTGTTCATGTGCTTTATGTAATAAATGCCAACAACTTAATTTCCAAATAGACCAATATAATTAATCTGAATGAATGAATCTGAATAAGTATTTGTTGTCTACATAACTTCGTCTCTATTTTTTGTAGTTTGTATAGTTTATAATGCTTGGATATTGATATCGATACCTAATATGATAGTGTTCCTAATCGCACTAACCTCTGTCTATCCTCTTTAAACGCCCACTGCACTACTTGTAGCTACTTGCGCCCTCTATATAACAAACAATGCCTAATCGGTGACCATTGGTCCCCCATGATTCTCTTTTTCTTATGTTAACTGAGAGCTGAGTTGATGAGATAACCACCTGCCAAGTGACCTTGCAGGGCGGTCTAATCCCTCCTGTAAACTACGGCAGATAAGCTTTAATACAAGGCTAACTTTTTTTGGTTGAGGTGTGGGAGGTGGTTCAGTCGTCTATTTTCTGTTTCTTAATGTTTGTCTTGTTTTCTTTTTAATGTGTTTGAACCACACGATGGAGGTTCATATGCCCCCCCCCCTCCTTCGAGGCTACGCCACCGTTGATTACTCATCTGATATAATAGTAACTGATTTCTGGCGTAGGAATATCGCTTTTTGGAATCCATTACATCAATCACAGGTGCAACAAACACACCTACAATCGACTTGTTGATTTGTTTTCCCAAGCAAATGACGCGAAATCGTCAAAAACCACATGATTTGAGCTAATTACCTTGCTTTATGGGTTCACCTTTGGACTACAGTGTATTTTCAAATATGAATAGGCACAATTTTAAATTTCCTTTTTGCTAATATAGCCATTATGTATTCAGCAATCTGATAGCATCGTCTACTATTAATATGCATACTAGTTTTGGCTGTGGGTCGTTGCGCCCACACATAGGAGCATCACTATCCTAGCTGTGTAGTAAAAGCTGTGCTTTTGATTCTCAGCATTTCAAACACCACTGTACAAAACTCAACTGATTTCACTAAAAATCGGTACTTTAGTGACAATTGATGACACCTAAACAGCAGTAAAATACATTTTTTCAACTTACTGATGTTAAAAAGAATAATTTAAAAATTAAAATTGTAAGTCTAGTGTCAAACTTTGCTTACAGCTGCATCGACATGATTGTGTACAGTCTATGCGATATTGTGTGGTGTGTATATTTGTGTATAGACTTCTAGGTCCCTGTCTCACAGCATGTATGCAGTGCTAGAGGTCAATACCCACTAGCATTGACTCTCTATGCTTTGCTGGAGTGGTTGCGCCTAGCTTACGGGTTCTTTGTCATGAATATGCGGAATTGATTAGCTTGTAGATAGTCCGTAACTTTAAGGTCAATTCTTTACATTATCGGACGTATGTACTGACCGTATCTGAGTATATATTACAGTGCAAGCCATAATAAGCTGGCGTCTGTATACGGAGTGTTCAGATGTGCTCGGTATATTTGGGATATTAAATATTCTCCACTAATATTTTGCTCACTTCCAACACTTCGGCCTTCTTGAAGACATCAAGAATTGCTACTTAATTGCAGAATTATTATAATATCACTCTTGACTATCAACGTGGTTAAAAGACGGGCAGCAATTATGGCATTATGGAATCTTGCCCCAGTTACAGTTTTGGTGTTATCCGTGCTTTTCAGCTTTCTTGGGTACAGATGTCTGCTCTGTATGATTGCAGTATGGACAGAAGTAAAGCGGATCGTTCACATTCGGCGCACTCTTCCAGGTGCTCCACCTCACTGGCTGTTCGGCAATGTCCTGCAAGAACCTGGACCCGTGACTCCTGGGTTCGAGTGGCATCGTAACATGCCTAAGTCCTATCGAAGACTTCATGTCTTTTGGGCTGGATGGAAACCCATTGTGGTACTGAATCATCCTGAATCTGTACGGAATGTACTCAATGGCAGTGTTGGAACGGTCAAAGTAAGTCATTTAAGATTTTTCTCTATTGGAAACCTTATCGTATTTGATTTTGCGAGCTTAAAACTTGTACAAGGCATTTCATGATGATTTGTAATATCCCGAAAAGAACGCCGTTGCCTGTTTCCTCAAGATTTAAGCAGACATGTATTTGAAGAAGAGTGCACATCACATTTAAGGCTGAATAAAGTATATACTCATCACGAAGCTCCGACGAGTTTTCTGCTCCTCTTATTTCAGTCACACGCTCACGCACACACACACGCCACACAATCCCACACTGGTATGTATCTCGTATAAGAGCGAGTCCAATATATTTTCTCTCATATAATACGTACCTCATCTTCTGATTTCTATTAGGTTTATAGCCCTCCTAGAGGTTTCATGAGAAGAACTGCATTATGTGCTTTTATAATTAGGTCAGAGAAATCAAAACCTTGATATCAATCCTTTTGAGACTGGGCATACGTAAAATCTTTTATTCTTGGCAGTTCCATGGCATGTTGTTACCGACATCATGCTATATTCGTTACCGACATACTTGGTATACTCGATGATTTGATCGAAATGTGGAGCTTGGACCAGAATAAATAACTTGAAAATGGCACTTCAGATGATAACTTTGTTTAGATTCCCCTACTATACTAGGAAGGCCTGGAACACCAAGTCAACTAATACATTTGACCCTAATATTTGTTTTGTTTTGTTTTGACAGAGTGAATTGTATCGACTATTTGATGAATGGCTAGGCCAACCTATGGCTACAACAGACGGTAATTTATGGAAGAGACATCGGAGGCTCATTACAAACTCTTTCCATTTCAACGTTCTCAAGAGTCATATCCCTAAAATGAATCAGGTATTATGACATTTTTTGTTTTTTATGAAAAATTATTGAAAACTTTATTTCTAAGCAATTTGGGTATAATATAAGGAACAAAGATAGGACCAGATACACGTTAAACGTTTAGTATTAAGACTATGTTTCTATTTCGATGATAGGTTACCCGTATGGCCTATATCATATGTCTAACCTTACAAGGCTAAAGCCAGGGTAATAATATCCAAACTTCTTAGGAAGCGCTTGTGAACGTTATATCATAATTTATTATTAAAGGAAGAGGGTTGCGTTATTTTTTCAGTTTAGAACTATTTTGTAATGTATATTCATGTTTTAAACAGATCTATGAATTACTATCGCTACCTTAATTTTTTTGAAACATAACTGATTTCTGTCTTTGTTAATTTTGCTTATGATTAGTATGTTATCCAACTCAGTGGCGTACGCAGGATTTTTTTCATGGGGGTGTTTTAAAATTGGATGGCATCATTAATGTGAACCCCGCGAGGTAGCGAAGCAACCGAACAGCAGAGGGTGTTGGAGGGGGTTATTCCATCGAACGTCGTGAATTTCGATATCCTAGCTTTCAAAAACCTGGGGGTTTTCCTGCATTTTAAGTTTTCACGTTTCTTTTTTTATTTCTCCACATTTTACAGTAAATAGAGAAAGACATTATGAAATAGAAATCATATATGTATATGGTATATAAGCATGAAATAATGATATTCAATTCATATGTCAGATTGAGTAAAATGTGAGGAACCTATTGAAAAGCGGTGCTTGCAGATTATAGGTTCCGCATTGCAAAAAGCTCTCGTTGAAAATATACCCCATCACTATAACACAGGAACCAATGTAATTCAATGTAACAAAGTTCTGTTTGTTTAAAGTAGTGCTTGCATTTCCATAATTTTATCAAACGAATTCGTTTTCACTGGCTGCCTGCAGTAGCAACAAGCAGAATTGACAAAAGACTTAACTCCGTTTCGTTGACAATCATGCATGCATGAAGTCTTTCGTCTACGGCTGATTGTCGAGGAAACAGAGTTAAGTCTTTTGTTAAATACCGTTTGTTGCTACGGAAAGCAGCCAGTGAAAACGAATTCGTGTAATGAAATTATGGAAATACAAGCACTATTTTAAACAAATGGAACTTTGTCATTCCTTGCTCATTTTTCCTAACTGTAGGCTTCATATGAAAGGGCAGAAACTCAACTTTCTAGAAATGTGATTTTCTCTTTGAAAAATTCAGATAGCGTCCGCCAAATGACTTTTCGGTTTCCTTTCTTCAAAATCATTTTAATCACTCATGCGTGAAATATGCATTATATGAGTTACATCACATGAAAGAAGAGGATCTAAGCTTTCCAAACATGTGTAATTTATTAATTATAAATGTGAATAAGTTATGATAAAACATCGATAATTCTCGGTTTCGTTTTTTCTGGGACGCACTGTATAGCAAATATTGGCTAAAGACTGCAACACAGTTTTAGGGTCTGGGGTAATAAAAATGAAAACAAACTTCTCGCTCGGTCGCTACGCTCCCTCACATAATATCCGTCAAAATGTACGAGTTAATATTGAAGAAAATTTGTATTCTGTTGGTATCACGTAAGCACAGTTTACACTGAATGTTTACACGATTAAGAGTTATATAAATAGATCTGTGCTACAAAAATGATTATGCAGCTTGCTCTTTTAAGAAGTCCCTTCCTGCCTACTTACTAAAATGTACCTAATAAATATTAGTATAAGTGAGAAAACAGTATATTGCTTGTTTTTATATTATAGTTGTGCTAAAGAATGTAATTTTGTAATACAACAAAACTTCAAAAACCAGTGAGGGGGTATTCCATCTACATTTGTATAGTTCGTAGTCCTCTCCAAAAATTCGTACAATGACCCAAATACAAAAACAGGCTGTACACGACTTATACTAATGATCATGATATTTTATATAGATTGCCGACACCCTGATTTCAGTGATCTCACAAAGAGGTGTGGCGGGAGAGCTCCTCGAACTCCACAAAACCACGAGTGCTTTTTCCAGTGACGTCATCTTACAATGTGCCTTTTCCTACGAGTCAGGCTGCCAGGAGGGTGTCTCAGAATACATGAAATCTGTATCGACCCTGGCTGGCATTGTCATGAAGAGGTACGAAACAGAAGCATATCTCTTTCTAGCATTCTTACTACATAGTACAATCATGCAAGACACAGTGGAATATATTATTTTCCCAAACGTTACCGACTGCATCTTCTTATGTAGTATTTCTGATTATGATATCAAAATGATAGCTCTGGAACAGCTTCGAATCCTTTGATTATTAGACCGTAGAGTTTCCATTATATTGTTCTTGATGAAGTATGGGACAACAAATGACCAATTACCCTAGAATTTCCCATACGAAAGACAAAATACCAAATAGATATTGAGTACTTGGTGATTGTGTTTGCCACATTAAGTTAAACGAGGAAGTAAAAAGGGATGAGCAAGCCTCCTTCTTGCCTTTGAAAGCTTCTTTGTACAGGGATGCATTTAGTTTTTACTATACTAATTGTAATTTATAGTAATAATGATGTTTATTATAATCTAGAGACAACTTGCTAGGTGATTATGGTATATCGTCTTTTGAACAAAAATCGTTTGTTTCGTTTTTCTGATAGGTAGTTATAATTGAGGTCCAGTGTTTTCGAGAACCGAATCGTAGGCTAACCTTTAATGAACTACTGCTTTTGAGAAAGAGAAAGGTGAAAAACATTGTCCTAGGATAGGATACCACGATAGAACTACATTGGATTATTCAGTACATGGTATTGGCTTATCAAGGTTTTGGGCCAGGTGCGTATAGAAGGGACCCAATGTTGGTTACGCCACTGCAGAGACAGGGTGTGGAGTCCTTCCAATGAAGGAGCTGTGGGATAATTTTCATGATTGATCTCAATAGCGACTGACCTGCAATGATTGATTGATTGATTTTTATTCGACAAGCTTCCAACATACAACAATATATAATAACTAGACATAATACTTGTTTGGAACAAGTATAGGTGGGCTGGTCAACTTAAATTTGAAAACAAAATAGAGCAAAATCAAGCGAGATACTGCTTGAAAATTCTTAAAAAACACTATCATGTAGATTCATTACGTGAACGAAATTCACCTTCTACATGTATAGTCATAACACGCAAATTATGAATTTTCTGACATGAGGCCTTTAACCAAAATTTTCACTCTGATGACGTCATCAAAATGAAAAAAGGGTTAAATTGAACTTGTAGAGAATTATCTTAGCTACAACATATTGAAATTTTGAAGAAAATCAATCAATATATACAGAGATACAATCAATTTTCCATAAATATGCTGACGTCATAATATGCAAATTCGTATTTTGAGTTCCAAGGCCATTATGATGATGTCACGATACACTTAATGGCCAAATGAGACATGAAATCATATTTCTGACTCATACTCTTTTCAAATATTAAAACAGAATTGGGGTCCAGGTGCATCCCAAAGAGCTATAATGGATTGTGTATAGGCATTTTTTTGCCCATGTATGTTATGTATTACAAGAGCTCGCGCGCACTGACATTTATCTTGAATTTACGCTCATCTTGTTAATAATGGTCATAAAGAGATAAACATGGTATCAAATTCCTTGAAAAAATATGAGAAATATCATGAAAGAAAAAAAAATGGCGATTCTATGTTTTGTAATGGTGTTACGCGCGAAAACGCGCGCGCATGCTCGTACGCGCGATTTTTTATAAAATGCTTAATATGACCTGAAACGTATGCAAAATAAATTTTAGACGATTTTGAGCATTTAAAAATTTTGCGCGCGCACTGACGCGCGGACGTACGCGCACGCGCGCGTTTTAGGACATGAAATTAACCGGACAAATATTGACCTTGATCATGATAAATATGAATGAGAAATGACTTTCCTTTATGAAGATATGATCATGAGTTAATTTTCACAAAATGGCGCCTAGATGACGTCATCAGTCAAGGTCAAGGTTGAAAAGGTTATTTTGATTTTGTTATATGCCTATACATATGTGTGCCAAATTTCAAAGCATTTGATTGAACCATTTCAAAGTTAACTTGCTAACAAAAAAGTGGGTCGAAATAAGAAAAATAAACTAGATTTGTAATACTTGTTTGGAACAAGTATAGGTGGGCTGGTCCAACTAAAATTTTAGACAAAATGAAGGGCACATTTGAGATAGCTAATTGTCTCAGCTACATCATACTCAAAGTTCAGCGTAAACGAAGCTAAAACGACGGAGATATTGCTCGCGAAAGACGGGAATGTAGAATCCAGTTTTGAGAAAAAGTCATGTCCCATAGAGAATACACGCAAAAAGTGAAAAATTGACATGCCTCCTTTAATCGCAAAAATACGCCATGATTCCTTTGTCAAAAATGAAAAATGTTTTGAACTACATTTGTAATGAATTGTCTCAGCTAGAACATATCGAAATTTGGAAGAAAATCGATCAATATTTACAGAGATGCAATCAATTTTTGAAAATATGCTGACATCATAATATGCAAATTGAAATTATGAGTTCGGAGGCCATTATGATGACGTCATGAGAAAAGTAAGGGTCAAATGAGACTTGAAATCATTTCTCCAATTCATATTCTATCACAATGAGAAGAAAAGAATTGGGGTCACCTTGCATCCTAAAGAGCTACAATGGATTTTGTATAGGCATCTTTTTGCCCATTTATGATATGTATTACAAGAGCTCGCGCGCACGGAAATTTATGTTAAACGGGTGATCATTCCGTTATTAATAGTCATAAAGAGATAAATATGGTATCAATTTGTTTGTAAAAATATGTGCAATATTATGAAAGAAAAAAAATGGCGATTCTATGTTGTGTAATAGTTTTACGCGCGAAAACGCGCGCGCATGCGCGCATGCGCGATTTTTTATAAAATGCTTAGAATGGCCTAAAACGTATGTTAAATGATTTTGAGACGATTTTGAGCATTTTAACATTTTGCGCGCTCACTGACGCGCGGACGTACGCGCACGTGCGCGTTATTTGACCTGAAATTAACCGGACGGATATTGACCTCGATCATGATAAATATGAATGAGAAATAGCTTTTGGTTATGAAGATATGATCATGAGTTGATTTTTACAAAATGGCGCCTAGATGACGTCATCAGTGAAGGTCAATGTTGAAAACGTTATTGTGCTTTGTACATATGCCTATACATGTGTGTGCCAAATTTCAAGGCATTTGATTGAGCCATTTTCAAGTTATCTTGCTAACAAAAAAGTGGTTAGAAATAAGAAAAATATTTAATAAACTAGATTTGTAATACTTGTTTGGAACAAGTATAGGTGGGCTGATCCAACAACAAATTGAGACAAAATAAAGGGTACATTTGAGATAGCTTTTTGTCTCAGCTACAACATACTCAAAGTTCAGCGTAAATGAAGCTAAAATGACGTAGATGTTGCCCGCGAAAGACGGGAATGTAGAATCGAGTTTTGAGAAAAAGTCATGTCCCATAGAGAATACACGCAAAATGTGAAAAATTGACATGCCTCCTTTAATCGCAAAAATACGCCATGATACCTTTGTCAAAATGAAGAATAGTACTAACTGTATTTGTAGAAATTTGTCTCAGCTAGAACATATTAAAATTTGAAAGAAAATTGATCAATATTTACAGAGATACAATCAATTTTCCATAAATATGCTGACGTCATAATATGCAAATTGGAATTTTGAGTTCGGAGGCCATTATGATGACGTCATGAGTTAATTGAGGGTCAAATGAGACATGAAACAATATTTCCGAATCATACTCTATTAAAATATGAAAACAAATTGGGGTCACCTTGCATCCTAAAGAGCTACAATGGATTTTGTATAGGCATGTTTTTGCCCATATTTGCTATGTATTACAAGAGCTCGCGCGCACGGAAATTTTTGTTAAACGGTCGATCAATCCGTTATTAATAGTCATAAAGAGACAAACGTGGTATCAATTTGTTTGTAAATATATGTGGTATATTATGAAAGAAAAAAAAAAGCAATTCAATGTTGTGGAAAAGTTTTACGCGCGAAAACGCGCGCGCATGCTCGTACGCGCGATTTTTTATAAAATGCTTAGAATGGCCTAAAACGTATGCAAAATGATTTTCAGACGATTTTGAGCATTTCAAAATTTTGCGCGCGCATTGACGCGCGGACGTACGCGCAGGCGCGCGTTTTTTGACCTGAAATTGACCGGACGGATATTGACCTTGATCATGATAAATATGAACGAGAAATACCTTTTGGTTATGAAGATATGATCATGAGTTGATTTTCGTAAAATTTTACAAAATGGCGCCTAGATGACGTCATCAGTGAAGGTCAATGTTGAAAACGTTATTGTGCTTTGTACATATGTCTATACATATGTGTGCCAAATTTCTAGGCATTTGATTGAGCCATTTCCAAGTTATCTTGTTCACAAAAAAGTGGTTAGAAATAAGAAAAATATATAAATAAAGGCAATTCTAACGAAATTATAAGGTGGTCTGTACGTTATACAGCCCACCTGATAAAGGCAATTCTAACGAAATTATAAGGTGGTCTGTACTATATACAGCCCACCTGAAAATAAAGAATAACTAGATTTGTAATACTTGTTTGGAACAAGTATAGGTGGGCTGATCCAACTAAAATTGAGACAACATCAAAGGCACATATAATATAACTTATTGTCTCAGCTACAACATACTCGAAGTTCAGCGTAAACGAATCTAAAACGACGGAGATATTGCTCGCGAAAGACGGAAATGTAGAACCCAGTTTTGAGAAAAAGTAATGTCCCGTAGAGATTACACGCAAAATGTGAAAAATTGACATGCCACCTTTAATCGCAAATATACCCCATGATGCCTTTGTCAAAATGAAAAATTGTGGCTATATTATTTGTTGAAAATTGTCTTAGCTAGAACATACCAACATTTGGAAGAAGATTGATTAATATTTACAGAGATACAATCAATTTCCCAAAAATATGCTGACGTCATAATATGCAAATTGGAATATTGAGTTCGGAGGCCATTATGATGACGTCATGAGTTAATTGAGGGTCAAATGAGACATGAAACAATATCTCCGA